CTTGTAGCACTTAATATCTATTTGCACAACAGCTTTCTAGTTCTATTATCTCTGTTTATAATACCTGTTTGCACAGCAGTGCTTTTAAGCAGCTGTCAATGGCCAGCTCACGGTTGCAGGGGCCTGCCGTGGGCAGTGACATGGGCAGCCCGTCTGCTCTGCGCTGTGCGGGGCCCTTTTCTTCTACTCTCCTTGAATCTGGCGAGTCATTTGGATTATCATTAATTTTTTTCCTGTTTGTACAAAATATATTTTATATACAATATCAAATACTTAGCATATATAGTTGCCAGATGCGTTTATTCTTATTTGGGAAATATTTCTTTTTATTCCTTTCCTTTTAAAAATGTGTTTTGTTTTTTGGGGGGCACAGCTGGCTGTGTTCAGGGCTGACTCCTGGCTCTGTGCTTAGGAATCACTATCAGTGATGCTCTTGGACCATCTGAGGTCCCAGGGACTGAAGCAGGGTCGACCATGTGTAAGACAATTGCTTTAAACCCTATGCCATCTTTCCAGCCCATATATATATGTATATATATACATACATATACACATATTATATATACACATATATAAAATATGTATTTTTGCTTTTGGGGTCACACCTGGCAATATACAGGGGTTACTCCTGGCTCATGAACTCAGGAATTACTCCCGGCGGTGCTCAGGGGACCATATGGGATGCTAGGAATAGAACCCGGGTTGGACACGTGCAAGGCAAATGCCCTACCTGTTGTGCTATGGCTCCAGCCTCATATATATATATAATTTTTTAAAAGTTACTTGTGGTGGTGCTCAGGGGGTTCTCCCCTTGTTGCTGGGGTACCATGTGATGCTGGGAAGGAAACTTAGGGTTCCTGTTTCAGAAATTTCACTCCAGTCTTTTGGGCATCTCCCTGGATCCTCGTGCTTGGTTTCTTAAACATAAATGATGAGCCTGTCAGGTTTCCGCTCTCTTGGATTCTTAGTAGGATGACTCAGTAATTGCACGTGCTCCTTTAACCTCTCTCTCTCTCTCTCTCTCTCTCTCTCTCTCTCTCTCTCTCTCTCTCTTTCTCTCTCTCTCGGCAGGGAAGGTTTACATCTTGGAGTGCTCAGGAATCACTCTTGGCGCTACTTGGGGAACCATATGTAGTGTTAGGTATCAAACCAGGGTCGAGGGGCTGGAGTGATAGTACAGTGGGTAGGGCGTTTGCCTTGCACCCGGCTGACCCAGTTTCCATTCCCAACATCCCATATGGTCCCTTGAGCACCGCCAGGAGTAATTTCTGAGTGCATGAGCCAGGAGTAACCCCTGTGCACCACCAGATATGACCCAAAAAGCAAAACAAACAAACAAAACAAACCAGGGTCGACTGCACACAAGGCAAGTGCTTTAACCCCTGTGTTGTCTCTAGCCTGAGCATAAACATTTTAAATTTGGGGGAGGGGAGTAGTACACACTACTACTTTTAACTAGTTTTAGTTTTAGTTCTGATTTTGGGTGACCCAGCGCTGCTTAGAGGCTACTCCTGGCTAAATGCTCACTCCTGCTGATACTCTGGAGACAATACAGGGCCAGGGACCCAACCTGGGGCTCCTACAAGCAAAGGATGTGCTCCAATGATTTTTGGTATCTCCTTGGCTGTCTGGTAATTTGGCAGGGCAGGGGGTAGGGTTGGTGGTCTCCCAAGCAGTGCTAAGTGGGCCTAGGGGCCACTCTTGGTCACCTTGGGGCAGTGGTTCAGTGTGAAGGCTGAGGTTCCCTATGGAGCCATAGCTGGCTGTGCTTGGGGTTAAATAGGGGGACGTTAGTTTAGAGAAGGGACCAGCATGACAGTGATGGTTGGAATTGATCACTCTGGACAAGACTGTAAGTTGAATGATGGCCTTTCAGTATCTGTATTGCAAACCATAATCCCAAAAAGAGGGGCGCCGGGGAGAGGGGGAAAGAGATGGGGGGAGGGGGAGAGAGAAAGAGAGAGAGAAGGAAAAATACCTGCCATAGAGGCAGGTGAGGGCCAGATGGGGCTGGAGGGAAATGTGCATTGGTGCTGGGAAATGTGCACTGCTGAAGGGATGGATGTTGGAATATTGTGTGACTGAAACCCAAATATGAACAACTTTGCAACTGTGTATCTCACTGTGGTCCCATTTTTAAAAAAAGTGTGTGTGGGGGGGTGGGGGTTCTGGGGATTAAATCAGTCAAGACATGCACTGTAATCCCTGTACGAATCCCTGGCCCTGTCTTGGCAATGTTTTGTTTGATTTTTGAACCGTCTCCAGTGCCCTCAGGGATCACTCCTGCCAGTGTTCAGGAGAACATATGTGGTGCCGGGGATTGAATTAGGGGAGGTCACATATGTGCAAGGCAAATCCCTTAAACTGTACCATTTCCCAACCCTGTCTCAGCAATTGAAAAGAAAAACAAAATCATTTCAGCAGCCCTCTCAGTCCCTAGACAGCAAGGACTTAGACGGTCACGGTGTGCAACGGAGTGAATCCTTCTCCTGGACTGGAAGAGCTCCAAAAGCTCTTTGTGACTTCAGGAACTCATGACTTGCCAGTGCAGAGGTCAGCCTCAGGCCAGGAGGGTCCCAAGCTCCAGGCTTCCTCCGCTTCATATTGCCAGTAGCATTGCATGGGGTGAGAGGAGATGGGCCGAGGTGTTGCCCACCACGTTCCAAACCTTTCCCTTCTCCCCCGATACAGAGGCCATGGCCATGCCTACCGGGTGAGGATGTGAAGGTGTCTGTGTGCCTCCCTGGGGGCTCTGCGGCCTGTGGACCGAAGTTCAGACAGAGCCCTGGATGGAGGGAGGGAGGCGCTCTCAGAGCAGGGAGACGTTCGCTGAATATCGTTGAGGGGGCTGCCAATTCCGTCTCTGTTTTAACTGTTGTCGTTTGCTTGTCTTGAATGGGAAAATCTCAGCATGGCTCAGAAATGAGACAGCCGCTGCAGAGCCAGCTGCCTGGGACGGCGTAAATAGTCCCTAGTGACATGAAGTCAATTAGCACATATTGAAAGGGAAATTTTCTAAGGGAAATTTTCCAAGGCTTCATGGAACCACCATTTCCCCCCTGCAAAACTCCCATCCAAGGGGGCTGGAGTGATAGCACAGTGGCCAACCTGGGTTCGATTCCCAGCATCCCATATGCTCCCCTGAGCACCACCAGGAGTGATTCCTGAGTGCAGAGCCAGGAGTAACCCCTTAGCACTGCTGGGTATGACCCAAAAAGAAAAAAAAAAAAAAACTCCCACCCAGTGGACCCAAGGGAGCCGAGGTGAGGAAGAGCCCTAGATCTGAAAGGCCACAGTCCCCGAAAGACCACAGGCCATGTGAACAAACCACAACAACCCATTCATATGGGAGCTATGTCAGGTGGAGGCCTGGCAACCAGGCAACTTTACTTGGTTAGCTTTTAGATTTTGCTGTGAAATTTGGCCCGTTTGAAGATCCAAAGAGACGGGGTGTGGGGGGGGACCAGAGACACGCTTTGACTCACATCGTTCTGCTCATGGGCAGATGCTGGGTCGTGCCTATGTGCTGTGCTCCCTCTCCTGCTTCACGTGGTAAACCGTGACCCTTATCACCCTCTCTCGCACACAAGCGTCTCGAGAAGCTCGTCCTCAGATCCAGAGTGACCTAGAGTAGGTGCCCTGGTTTTCTTCAGAGCCCTCTCGGGGAAGGAAAAGACTGAAATTGTGAGAAAATAAAAAACAGATCCAGGGGCACAGAGAATTACCATCCCGGGGTTCATTCTTCCTCAAATGACACTTCAGATGAATCTGGAGACTAAGATTCTGGCCCCAGAATCATGGTTTCCCAAACGGTCCTCACCCTCAACTTCTCCCTCTGGGAAGAAAGGAAGAGTTTGTGTGTTCCAGCCCCAGGCTGCAAATCCTGGTGATTCTAACCTAAGTATTGTGCGTATATGGTGTGTGTTTAACAAATATTTACAATAGAGGAAAATAAAAAGAAAATTGATCTCTTAGCATCCTGAGTTTCTGAAACTGCACATCAAGGAATAACACGTTTATCATATTTCCACAAGTCTGAGATGCCATTTCCTGCAAGGCATCATCATTGTTCCGGTCTTGTAAAGAAAAAAAAAAGGCTCTGTGTGTTCAAGTGTGACACCGTGCCTCCTTTTTGTACCAATTTGGAGCCACGTCTTGATTTCACTGATATTAAAAAGCGAAAGAGATGATACACAGAATGTTGAACCCTCCCCCAAAGCCCCAGGACTGGGGCTCAGAATTGGCCCCCGTGCCCATGACACAATGCCTTGGCATGTGTGAGAACTGTGTTCAAGTCTCAGGACTGCAGGTGAATAAAGATATTTCTTTTGGGGGGAAGGGGTTCAGGGGCTTCACCTAACTCTACTCAGAGGTCACTCCTGGTGGTGCTCAAGGGACTAGATGCAGTGTGGGGATTCAAACGAGGGTGGTGGTGGGCTAAGTCAAACACTAGGCAAGTGATTTCATCTTTGTACTTTCTCTCCAGCCCAAGCTCTTTTTGATTCTGATGCATCTTAAATTAGCAAACTTGTTTTCAGTTCTCAGCTCCTCCCACTTATATACATTATGCTGCAATGTTTTCATTTACAGACTGAAGGGGCCATTAACTCTATTTTTCCCTGTGGATCCCGTAATACAAAGTATTCCTGGGCTCAAACACAGCTTTTGTCAGCGCAGATTGTGAAACAGTTGTCAGGACCCAAATCGTATTAATTTGAGGGTCTGTTGTTTATTGCAAGATTTATGAGAGTAAGAAATTTTTTTACTTTAGGGCTGGAGCGATAGCACAGCGGGTAGGGCGTTCGCCTTACAAGCGGCCAACATGGCCGACCCGAGTTCGATTCCTCCGCCCCTCTCGGAGAGCCCGGCAAGCTACCGAGAGTATTCGATATGCCAGACACAGTAACAACAAAGTCTCCAATGGAGACGTTACTGGGCCCGCTCGAGCAAATCGACGATCAACGGGAGGGCCTTTACCTTTACCTTTACCTTGATTTAAAAAAAAAATAGAATGCTTCATACATTTGCCTGTCATCCTGGTCTAGGGCCATGCTCATCTTTTCTGTATCCTTCCACTTTAGTCTATGTGCTGCTGAAGCAAGCAGAGAGTAAGAAAATTTTAAGGGCATTTGGCATGTCGATGTGTTTTCTTTGTCCCGCTTCTGTTTGTGCTTTGTTTTGTTTTTAAATCATTTTTGTTGTTGCTGGTGGCGTTTTACTTGAGGTGGCTGTTGTTCTGTCAATTCGTAGCTCAAGCGGAGACGCTGCACTGCGAGTTCACGCTGCGTAGAGGGATGGGTGTGAATGGGCTCGCGTGATGAGAGCACAGGATGACATTTTCATGAAATGCAAGGTGGGGACAGCATGGGGAAAGACTAATTTGCTGCTCTGACAAGCCTTTGTAAATTTTTCTTGCGCCCGTTCTTTAGTTTGGATTTTCCGTGTCCATATATCCTACGGTTTGAAACCAAAAAAAGCCTTAGTGATCTCTAACTTGTTCTTCAGTATTTGTGTGTGTGTGAGTGTGTGTGAGTGTGTGTGTGTGTGTGTGTGTGTGTGTGTGTGTGATTTTGGGGAACTAAACCCAGGTCCTCACATATTTGAGACACATGCTCTACCACTGAGTCACATCCCTGGAACGCAGGTTTCTTTCCACATTTCTCCCATATATTGGGGCATTATTTACACACAATAGCAATCTCTCTCTCTCTCTCTCTCTCTCTCTCTCTCTCTCTCTTGCTTTTTGGCTCACACCTGGAGATGCACAAGGGTTAATCCTGACTTTACACTCAGGAATTACTCCTGGCAGTGCTCAGGGGACCATATGGGATTCTAGGAATCGAACCCAGGTCAGTCATGTGCAAAGCTGTACTATTCCCCCAGCTGTACTATCCCCCCAGCCCCCCACCTCTCTCTCTCTCTCTGTGTCTCTCTGTCTCTGTCTCTCTTTAACACACACACACACACACACACACACAGGATTTCTAAAGACTAGATCATGCCTGAGAGGAGAAGAACGACTCAAACTCCAAGCTCCTGTATTTCTGTGTGTCCTTCCTAGTGCTAACTTTGGCACCAGGACTTGCTGCCCTCTGGCATCCGGGGGCCCCTGCCCGGGCCTGGGCACTGCGGGCAGTCATGGTGCTGGCCAGGACGTTTGCTCACCACTAATCACGATTCATCCACTCCTCTCTCCTGCAGTCCGAGTACCACTACGAGTACACCGCATGTGACAGCACGGGCTCCAGGTGGAGAGTCGCCGTGCCGCACACCCCGGGCCTGTGCACCAGCCTCCCGGACCCCGTCAAGGGCACCGAGTGCTGTAAGCTGACACCCATTCGCAGGCCTCTGCCCCAGCTGAGCCCTTCCTGACAGTCCCGCCCTCAACGCTACAATTTGGCCTCGAAATGCTAGTTTATGAAATCAAACTAAGAACTAGAGCTTATTTTTATTTATTTATTTTTGGTTTGGAACAAGATAAATTAAGTTCCCAGAGCTTACTCCTGGCTCTGTGCTCAGGGATCACTCGATGCTAGGGGAACCGTGTGCAACTTGGAATGGGAGTTGGCTTAGCTGTTTGCAAAGCAAGCGCCTTAACCCCTGTACAATCTCTCTGGCCCAGAACTTGATTTTAGTAATAATATTAATAATGATAAAAAGTGACCCCACAGGGCTTAAAGGGATGAATTTCAGAAGCCCCATATGGGTTTCTGTGCACGTGTTTCTTCCCACCTGTGTCTGTCTCCGATCTCAGACATAATCCGCCCTTAGGAGAGATTGCAGTCCTGTCCCTTCTGAAAAGGAAGCTAGAGAAGCCAGGTTTCTGCAGACAGGCCTGTACAGTGTCTGTGCACGAGTAACCTTTTCCATGCCCCCAGCACCTGGCCGTCTCCTGCCTTTGTGGCTTCACCCCGTCAGTGCAGCTGACAGCCCCCAGAGTCCTGCCTCTGGGCCTCAGTTCCTCCCTGTAGGATGATCCCTCACTGCCCCCTCTCCTTGTCGGCGGTGCTCAGCCCCTGCCCCTGTCCCCACTCTGTGCTCCAGCCTTCTCCTGCAAAGCGGGGGAGTTTCTTGACATGAAGGACCAGTCGTGTAAGCCGTGTGCTGAGGGCCGCTACTCCCTGGGCACGGGCATCCGGTTCGACGAGTGGGATGAGCTGCCCCACGGCTTCGCCAGCCTGTCCACCAACATGGAGATCGATGACAACACGGCCGAGTCTTCTGAGAACTGCACCTCGTGAGTCCTCCCCACCACGCCTCCTACCCCTCACCGTGCTGGGGAAGGGCTGCAGGGAGCACTCAGCAGCTTCCTCCTTCTCGTCCTTGTCCTCGTCCTCCTCTTCCTCCTCTTCCTCCTCTTCATTCTCATCCTCCTCCTCCTTGTTCTCCTCCTCTTCCTTCTCCTCCTCCTCCTCCTCCTCCTTCTCCTCCTCCTCCTCTTCCTTCTCCTCATCCTCGTCCTCGTCCTCATCCTCGTCATCCTCCTCCTCCTCCACTCTGGCTGGCAGAAGGCTAGGCTGCCAGGGCCAGGGCTGAGACAGCTCTTCACAGCACTGTGGGCTATCACATCCACCTTTGCCGCCCACCTAAGCTTCCCACTTACTGGCTGGCATTCAGAAGAGAAAACCACGAGGTTTTGGGGCTGGAGCGATAGCACAGCAGGTAGGGCATTTGCCTTTTACGTGGCTGACCCTGGTTCGATTCCCAGCATCCCATATGGTCCCCCGAGCACTGCCAGGTGTAATTCCTGAGCGCATGAGCCAGGAGTAACCCTTGTGCATTGCTGGGTGTGACCCAGAAGGGAAGAAAAAGAAAAAAGAAAAAAGAAAACCACGAGGTTTAAAACAAAACCCAGGAGCCAGGTGAAGTATTGGGTTACAAGCCTGGCATTTCAGGGTGCTGGGGGTTGAGTTTGGGGCCTCCCTGTACCTGGCGTGCATGCCTCCCCTTTGCACTCTCTCCCTGGTCTCAGTACACAGCCTTTATTAGAAGATAAGGGAATGTCATCTTGTGGGCTGCAGTAAGGATCCGATGGGGGGATGTGGGAAGACCTTAGAGCCAGGCTCAACCCGGGTCCTGTTGTTATCGTTGAACGTGAAATGCGCTTCACAGGGACAGCTCTAACAAAAATCAGAATGGCAGTGTGTTCTGCTGGAATAACCCACTTATAATATGCTTTTAATTATTCATTCAGTTCCAGGGGTTATTTTAGCTGATGCTGTGGACCCATGTCAGCAGTAAATGTTGTCTCTTTGAAGGAGGATCAATACCTTGATGTCAGGCGGGCTTTCTTGGACAGGTTCAGCATGTCTCTACGTGATTATGTTATTGAGGAGCTGGACTGGCCACATTACTCTGACAAGTATCTGGAAATCAGTGCCTAATCTAAAATCCCCTTAGCTGGCTATTATTAATCACCAATGGACAACTGATCTCAGGCTGAACAGTGAATTAATGGGATTGTCCTTTTTTTTTTTTTTTGCCTTTTGGGTCACACCCAACAATGCTCAGGGATTACTCCTGGTTCTGCACTCAGGAATAACTCCTGGAGGTGCTCAGGGGACCATATGGAATGCCAAGGATCGAACCCACGTTGGCTACGCGCAAGGCAAATGCCCTCTCCACTGTGCTATCGCTCCGGCCTCAATGGGATTGTCTTTTTATTTTGTTTTGTTTGGGGGCTACACCTGGCAGTGCTTAGGGGTACCACCTGACTCCGCACCCAGAAATCACTCCTGGTGGACTCAGGGGACCATGCTGGGAATCAAACCCAGGCCAGCTTGTGTGCTCCTTCCCTGCTGTACTATCACCCATTTCCCACATTCAGCCACTTAATCCTGTGCCTTCCTATGTGTGAGCCCCAGGGCTCAGGACTGCAGAGAAAGAGTGGCTTAGCATCTGTCCACACAGCATCTACAAGCCAACAAGGAAGACAGATATTTAAAGAGGAATCTGGAGGGAGGAGGAGGGAGAGATAGCACATCAGATATAGGGCACTTACCTCGCATGTGGCCAACCTGGGTTCAATCTCTCACACCTCATATTGTCCCCTGGCTTTCCAGGAATGTTCCCTGAGATCTGGCTAGAAATAAGCCCTGTGCACTGCAAAACCAAAAAAAAAGAAGAGGAAGAGGAGGAAGGGGAAGGAGAAGGGAAAATGGAAGGGGGATGGTGGAGGAGGAGGAGGAGGAGAGGGAGGAAGATCATTTGGGTCCAGAGAGAGAGAGAGAGAGTACAGTGGTTGAGGTGTTTCCTTGCATGTGACCAACCCAGTTTGATCTGCAGCACCAAATATGAACCCCTGAGCACCACTGGGAGTCACCCTGGAGCATACTACATATGATTCCCTGGGGAAAGAATGAGTAGTAGTCCCTGAGTACTACCAGGTGTGGTCCAAAACACACATATCCCCCCAAAACATAATCAAGAAGAAAGGATTATGGCTGGCAAGGTAACCCAAAGGGCCTGTGCACAGCTTTTACATAACTGGAACATGTTCTGCTTATTGAACCCCAGGGCCACATAGTCCCATGAGCACAACTGGGACAACCCCTGAGCACCAGGCCAGGTATGCCCTCCCCCCAAAAAAACCCCTCTAAATTAACGAAGAATCAAAGTATGATCATAAAAGATACCAAGCTACAAATTAAAATATACGCAGTCCTATTACTAATAATGAAATCAGATTTCAGGCCCCAGGGCTAAGGATGTGGCTCTGGTGAAGTGCACCCCTGGCACGCATGAGTCCTGGTTCAATCCCCAACCATAATGGAAGGATTTAAAGATCAAGGAGACTTGCTATCCTACCAGATTACGATGTCCACAGTTTCAAAGTCCAACTATTCCAAGTTTGCGAAGGATATGGAGCAATGGGAACTGACATATTTCCGATGGGTGTAAATGGATCCTGACAGTTTGGAGAACAGCGTGGGGCAGTAGCTGGTGCACTGGAGGTTCAGGTGTCTCTAGCCCACCAGTTCTGCTCTCAGGCATTTCGTTCAGACATATGTGTAAGGGGTAGAAGCAAGAATGCACCGAACAGAGCGTGTCCAATGGCAAAAACCCTAAACTACACACAAAACCAAACCAAGTGTCACCAAAAAGCAATGCCTAAGGACTGGAGAGATAGTGCAGGGGCTAAGGTGCTCACCTTGCATGCGACACCACATAGGGTAGTCCAGACCCCCCTAGGTAAGGCATATATAAATATGGTAAGCCATACCATCCATATACCATGTTATAATCCTATTACACTGCAGCCAAAAATTTTAAAAGAGGGGCTGGAGAGATAGCACAGCGGGTAGGGCGTTTGCCTTGCACCTGGCCGACCCAGGTTCGATTCCCAGCACCCCATAAGGTCCTTTGAGCACCGCCAGGAGTAACTCCTGAGTGCAGAGCCAGGAGTAACGCCTGAGCATCGCCGGGTGTGACCTAAAAAGCAAAAAAAAAAAAATTTTTTAAAAGAGCTATATAAATAAATATGAATGGCATATTGAAAGGGAGGAACAAAACAAATTTCAGGTATTACACCATCTACCTTATATTTTAAAGCATGCATAGCTTACAAAGTTAAAAAAATAAAAATAGGGGCTGGAGTAATAGTACAGCAGACAGGGCTTTTGCCTTGCACGTGGCCGGCCTGGGTTCGATTCCCAGCATCCCGTATGGTCCCCAGAGCACCGCCATGAGTAATTGCTGAGTGCAAAGCCAGGAGTAGCCCCTGTGCATCGCCTGGTGTGACCCAAAAAGCAAAAAATTAAATAAAATAAAAACTACATAGCATTATCCTACAGTATGTGGGTGAGAGATACATACAGCAGATCCCCTGACTTGCTGATCTATTATTATGGTGATGGGTCAATGTTGTTCAAAAGGGTGTTATTCGAGGAGCTACTTTCATTACATGTCATTGGGCTTAAAGTAACCATTTCCGAGAACCTCTCAATGACATCTGTCGAGGATCCACTGAACGTAATCAGAAAAGGACAGTGACAGGCCTGTGAGGGTGTCACACAGGAATTTCAGGACAGGGATACTCAGAAGTGGGGGAAGGAGGGTGTGGCAGGACAGGAGCTGGGCTAGTGAGAGGCACTGCGTGCGCCTGCGCTGTGGAAGGATTCCTCAATGAAGGGGACATGTCCCAAGAAGTGCTTTCATAAGTGTGTGGCTGCATCTAGATTTGGTTAGTTTAGGGGCCATGATGGGCTGGAGCGATAGCACAGCAGATAGAATGTTTGCCTTGCACGCGACCGACCTAGCTGACCCGAGTTCAATTCCTCTGCCCCTCTCAGAGAGCCCGGCAAGCTACCGAGAGTATCTCACCCACACGGCAAAGCCTGGCAAGCTACCTATTAGATATGCCAAAACACAGTAACAACAAGTTTCATGATGGAGACGTTACTGGGCTGCTTGAGCAAATCAATGAACAATGGGAGGACAGGGGCCATGATGATCAAAATAGCACAAAACTGAATGAAATAGATGGGAGAATGATGTCCTCAAGGGACACAGAAGCATGAAATGGATGAGCTTGTTTGGATGCCAAGACATTCCTAGACGACAGGATTTGGGGGCCCACCATCTTAAGTGCCAACCATCAGGGCTCAGGGTGCCATGGGGTGCTTCCTTGGTTGTTATAGCCCATACTGGGCCAGGGGTTAAATTCAGGACCTGAGCACATGCTGGTTTTAATGTTTGTTTGGGGGTCATACCCGGCAGTGCTCAGGGTCTGCCTCTGGCTCTGTGCCAGAGGGGGAGCATATGGGGTGCTGGAGATTTGAACTCAGGTGAGCTGCATGCAAGGTAAATGCCCGACCCCCATGCTATCTCTCTGGCACCCCCTTGCTCATGCTGGACCTGAACTTCACCATTTAAGCTGCATCTCTGGGCCCTGCATGGTACTAAGACCCGTCACACTTAAGCAGAGCGATGGGTATTAAATATCTTTCACATTTATGTGAGCCAAGAGTCGGATGGGAAAGGGAAACAGGAACATTTGGGACGCATCCAGCAGAGGCATGGAGGATGTCTCAGATTAGGTAACATTAAAGACCCAAGTAGGAATAAGTGGGAGGTTGTGGGGGGAGAGTGGCACTTGTTCTGACAAGCAGGATCAGTGCGTGGGAAGACTCGGGTTGGAGAAAGGTCAGCAGGGGGACTGACCAGGATTCTCTGGGGCTTGAGTCTGGAGAGGGCGTGAGGACCTGGCATCTCTGTGGAGGGACAGCAAGGAAACCGATACGGCAGGCAGTGGTGGATCAAGTTTGCTTCTGGAGGACGTTTCCATCAGCAGCGCAGCATGCAGGTGTTGGGGTGCATGGAGCCGCAAGGAGACTGGTTTAAGGGGAGGTGGGGGAGTACAGAGGGCCCAGAGTCAGCATCAGAAGATACCACGACACCCGCACTGTGGCTAGATGGTCTCTGGGGTTCTCTGTTCTTCCCTCCCCATAAAAACCATTGACATGGGGCTGGAGCAATAGCATGGGTAGGGCGTATGCCTTGCACGCAGCCAACCCAGGTTCGATTCCCAGCATCCCACATGATCCCCCAAGCACCGCCAGGAGTGATTCCTGAGTGCAGAGCCAGGAGTAACCCCTGAGCATCACCAGATGTGACCCAAAAACAACAAATAACAACAACAACAAAAATTTATGTGAAACACCTTAAAGTGGGATTTCCTTCCAGGGACTAGAGAAATAATGGGCAAAAGTGCTTGCTATAACTGCCCCAGGTTCAATCCCCAGTATCATATATGGTCCCCCGAGTGTTGCCAGAAGTGAGCCCTGAGCACTGCCAGGTGTAGTCCCCAAACCAAAAAACTAAAAATATATTTAAAAAATATGAAAGTAGACCTTGTGGCTTTGAAGTTAAATGTGGGTTTTATTGATTTATTTCTGTTCTTTTAAGATTATTTTTGGTACTGGGGATCAAACCCAGAGCCCCACACATACCCAGCAAGGGCTCTGCAGAACCACATTCCCAGCCTCTGCTTTTAAACCTTAGCCCCATCATTTGCTGCCTTGGCAAGCATGGGCCAGGTACTGAATCAAATTCTGGGTGTCACCATTCATTAAATGGAGCAGGAAGAAGAGGAATAGTGTGTCCCTTACTGACATAAATGAATCAGAAAGGCAGGGACTGGAGAGAGAGGCCCGCAGGTGAGACACTTGCCTTGCATGCAGGTGGCCCCAGTTCAATCCTCGGCACTGCATATAGTATCCTGAGCCCCATCAGGAATGATCCCTGAGCACAGAGCCAGGAGTAAGTCCTGATGAGCACAACTGGGTGTGACCCTGAATCCACCAAACCCCCAAAAAAGAAAAGAAGAGAAGAGTGGGACTGGAGTGATAGTACAGCAGATAGGGCACTTGCCTTGCATATGTCTGCCCCCGGTTCGATCCCCAGCATCTCATATGGTCCCCTAAGAAGTACCAGGAATGATTCCCAAATGCAGAGCTAGGAGTAACCCCTGAGCACTGCCAGGTGTGGCCCCCAAACAAAAAGGCAAAAATAATATATGACAACAGAAAGCTAAAGCCTGGTAGCTGGGTACCTGGGAGATGGTGACTGACTCATGAACGTTCTTCCTCTCCCTTTCCCCCTGCACCACCCGCTGGATCTGTCTCCCTAATGTCATGGGTTCTTCCCCGTGGCTTCCACTTGCTGGCTGTGCCCTGGTGCCCTCTGATTGGGAAATCATGCTTCCACACAGCAGCCCGCATTGGAGCTTCTGCCATGGGCTCAAGTTGAATATCTCCCAACTATTCGCAGCATCAGGCCAGGGCCCGGCCCATGATCCCCATTTTCCTCCCAGGTCCAAGTGGGTGCCTCTGGGCGACTATATCTCCTCCAACACCGACGAGTGCACGGCCACGCTCATGTACGCCGTGGACCTGAAGCAGTCGGGCACCGTGAACTTCGAGTACTACTACCCAGACTCCAGCATCATCTTTGAGTTTTTTGTAAGCCCCTGGCCAGGAGGGTGGGCGGGCAGCCATGCCTGGGAAATTTCCTGGTGTTTTCCTCCCCTGCAGAGAGAACTGGGGGCAAAATGGCTTTGAACAGGGAAGGTGGTGCGAGGCTTCTGCAGGGCTGAGTAGAGACGGGAAGGAAGCTGGGTGTTGGTCCCAGTTCCCGCATAGAAACCACACGTAAACATACAGGTGACGACATGCATGATGCGGATGCCTTATGGTCCGTGCCCACTGGTGTTTTATGTGTCTCAGTGGCCTTGGGCCCCTCCTGCAAGGCTCGCGTGTTCTGCACTCGAGTCCCTGAAGGATGAGGAGGAGTCTCTGTGGGGCTGGGCGGCACGGGAGAAAGAACACACGTTCTTAGAGAGCTGAGAATTTTCACCCGAACTCCTGCCGCTTCAGGTTCAGAACGACCAGTGCCAGCCCAACGCAGATGACTCCAGGTGGATGAAAACCACAGAGAAAGGATGGGAGTTTCACAGTGTGAGTCTCTCCCCTGGTCTCTTCCAAGTTCTCAGAAAGAGACGAAGAGCCTTCCCTCCACTCGGGGATCCCCCTCACCTGAGGCCTCCCTTCACCGATGACTGCTCCCCTCACCTGAGGGTCCTCCCTCCACCCATGGATCCCCCTCACCTGAGCTCTTCCCTCCACCCACCACTGCCCCCTCACCTGAGGGCCTTCCCACTACTCAGGGCCTGCACTCTGTGAGTCTAACACCGAAACGTTCTTTTGTGTCTGAGGCTGTGGGTTCATCTCTTGCTCGTCTGGCCTAATCCCCAAGGACTCAGCAGCTTGCCAACTTTGAGGGTTGGGTCCTCTGGAATGAGGAATGTGCCAGAATAGAATGAGGGAAACTCTGGGAGCCTCAGGTCCTCCATGGTCTGAGGGAGAGGTGGGAGAGGGCGTGAGGGCGTTGTCTGACGAGGTTAGAGTTGCTGAGCCCAGACAAATGGACAGGTAGATACGGGCAGACAGGAGGAGAAGCACAGGGGCGACCATGGAGGAGGGGAGCAGGCACGGCCAAGGGTGAGCCGGAGGGTCGAATACCTCCTCTCTCCACAGCTGACTCTCTCTGTCTGTTCGTGGACTATAGGTGGAGCTTAACCGAGGCAATAACGTCCTCTATTGGAGAACCACGGCCTTCTCAGTGTGGTCCAAAGTGTCCAAGCCCGTGCTGGTGAGGAACATCGCCATCACAGGTACCCTGCAGAGGGGGCCGTGGGTGGCGCTGACTTCCTGCCTCAGGACTCAGAGGAGTCCGGTGTCACCCCAGGAGGCACCTCCACTTCTCAGTGCTCCTTCTTTCTCTCCAGGGGTGGCCTACACTTCCGAGTGCTTCCCCTGCAAGCCAGGCACATACGCAGACAAACAGGGCTCTTCCTCCTGCAAACTCTGCCCGGCCAACACTTACTCCAACAAAGGAGAAACGTCCTGCCACCAGTGTGACCCCGACAAGTACTCAGGTGAGACGCGCTGTGGCTGGGACTCACCAGCCCACATGAGGGACGGAACAGGGAGCTGAGCCTTCCTGACTCAGCAGAAGAGGAATTCTTCCTGTTCCCTGGCTCTTCTGGGCCTCGGCAGAGGCGGCCAGGGCACACTCTACTACTTGCTCTAGAGATTGAAGCAAAATCAGGCCTCCTGGGGGGGGGGCTTGGGTTATATCTATGAATGAAGAAATCAAGGTCCCTGTCCTGATGAAATTTAGATCCTGGTGGGGAAGGGAAGGCGGACAATACACAGTGACTGTGTAGAGGTGGTGCAGCGGGTAGGGCACTTGCCTTGCGTGTGTCTGACCCCGGTTCTAGCCATAGCATCACATCTGGTCCCCAAGCACTGCCACGAGAAACCCCTGAGCATAGAACCAGGAGTAAAACCTGCTGTGACCCCAAAACCAAATCCAAACCACACACACACACAACTATAATAAACATAGACTGAATTGTGTAGTTTGCTAGGTAGTGAAAGGGGCATAGTTTTGTGGCAGAAAGCACCCCCCACTCAGGGGCTTCAGGGATTAGGAGAGCTGGCTCTGGAGCTGCATTTGTTTCTCTAAAGCAGTGAAGTTTTTTATTAAAAAAAAAAAGTGGGGGAGGGGTGCCTACAAAGCAGTGCTCAGGGCCACTTCTGGTGGGTGATACTCAGAGCAGGAAGGATGACTCAATGAGTGATGAACCAGTGAGACCCTGATGTCGCTCAGACCTCCAGAGCCAGGCTGGGTGCTCAGGAGCCTGGTGGGGCTGGAGTTCAGATTCTGGGCCCTGCACATTACAAGCCATGTGCCCCTCACCCCTGAAGAGGTATCTTCACCGTACCCCAGCCAGTGACACCTGGCAGTGTTCAGGGCTTACTCCTGACTCTGTGTTTAGGAATGGTTCCTGACCGTGGTCAGGGGATCACACATAATTCTGTGCTCAGCCACATGTAAGACAAACATCTTAACCCCTGTACTATCCTCTAGTTTAAGTGGTAAATTTCTTTAATGCAAACTTTAAGATTATAACTGGTAACTGTAATCAGGTAAAAAGATACTTTTATATATTTCCTTCCTTCCTTCCTTCCTTCCTTCCTTCCTTCCTTCCTCCCTTCCTCCCTCCTTCTCTCTCTCGTTCTCTCCCCCCCCTTCTCCTTCTTTCTTTCTTCCACACCCAGCAGTGCTCAGGGCCTACCTCTGTCTCTGCACTCAGGGATCACTCCTGGCAGGGCTCAGGGAACCATATAATGTGCTTGGAATTGAACCTGGGATGACCACAGGCAAGGCAAGGGCCTCTTATCTCTCCAGGTTTCCCCTCCTTTCCTCCCCTCCCCTCCTTTCCTCCTTTATTTGAAAAGTACTGCTCTAAGGGACACCAAAAGAACAGATGGAAACAGCCTGTCCCACAGTTCTGGGCAGCTCCTTCAAGCACCCCATCTTGAGAAAGAGAAGCTGGTTGTTTTAGGTGGACCCACACAGCAGGGCTCTGGGTGATACGCTGGTATTTCTAGAGAGCCATGAGCAGGTTTGAAACAGGGGCCAAGTTCCAAGACAGGTTTGACTGGGTTTGGTTCTGTTGTTTTGGGCACCACCCCCGGCAATGTTCAGGGGCTCTGAGTACCTGGCTCTGTGGTCCGGGGTCACTTCTGGCTGTGTTTGGGGAGCAAACCAGGATCATTGCATCGCAAGACAAGCCCCTTTGCCCCTGTCCTATCTCTCCAGTCTCAAGACACATCTTGAAACCAACAGCAGAGAGAGTGAGTCCCCTCTAGCCTCCTGCAAAGGCTCATAATTATTCCCGTTTTCCACAGAACCACGTAGAAGCCTAACTTAAGTCCCCCTTTTAAGCAGACAAACACACACACACACACACACACACACACACACACACACACACACATTCCCTTCACACAGATGTTGCCATAGGTGTTTGCTTAGCCAGACCTGCCATTGACCTCACTGATGCCTTATTGCCACATAGTCTTAAAACAGAAATCCTATTTGTCTTAGTTCTTGCCAAGTGAGTGTCACTTTCAGCAAGAACAGGAATGTTTAGCTCTGGAGGGGAGGGGGCAGTTTTGAGTGGAGGTCTACATTCCTGCCTTTCCACTGGAGTTTGTTCCTCCTCTCTGCCAGCTATTAGTGGCTGCCTTTGTTTCCCTGAGTGACCTGTTCCCTTGAGAATGTTGAAAGGTGACTACTCTAGAAGGAAGCCTAGGAGTGCTTTGATGAACTCAGTTGTCAACTGATTTGTTTTTCATCCAGAGTGCTGTTATGGAAGGGGGAATTGTCTGGAAGTCTGAAGTTGTGGGATCTATACTGTATCATTTTCTCAACCTGCTCCTCTGAAGGGGAAATGGGTTAATGACTGACTTAATAAAGAACAGGTTTTGCCTCGTGGCCTCACCAGCTTGGGATCCAAAGAGATTCACCTTTCTTGGTAACACCAGGTCCATGGGAGACTGGGGGAGCACAGAGAGGGTCTGCTGCACACCTGGGCTGGGACGAGTGACAGGGGGTGACCCCGTGGCCATCTGGTCAACCATTTGCATTATCTTCCGAGTGCTTGCTTGGTGCCAGGGATGCTGTGCTCTGGTCCACTGCCTGTGCCGCCGCTTGTGTGGAAACATGGACATCCTGGTTGGGGGCATCCCGGGGAGGCAGATCTTGGGGTGGAAGCACTGAGTGTCACATGAGGTGGAGGCAAGTGAGGGAGGCGGCCAGGGCTCTCAGGCTTCACCAGCTGTGCTCTTGAAAGACGAGCTGAGTCTCCAAGGATGAGGTAGTGACTTGATGGGGGCAGGGTGTTCTGGGAAGAAATGTGAATCAAGGTCAGAGGCCTGGGGAACTTGCAGTAACATTCAAGTGGGAGGATCAACACTTCTGTGCCCTTGCTGAAACAAACAGGCCAGTAAGGATGTTAAGGAGGGGACCAGAGAGATAGAACAGCGGACAGGGCACTTGCCCTGCACATGGCTGACTTAGTTCCATCCCTAATATCCCATGAGCACAGAGCCAGGAGTAAGTCCTGAGCACTACCGTGCCCCCACAAAGAAAGAAAGAAAATGTTTAAACAAGAAGTGGGAGGGTAGGTGAAATAGTACAGCGTGGAAGGCACTTGCCTTGCATAGGGCCAGCCCCAGCCCCACCTATGTTGCCCTGAGTAGCAGAGGACTGATCTCCGAGAGCAGAGCGGGAGTAAGCTCTGAGCACTGATGGGTGTGAGTGCTCCCACCAAAAAAGGTTAAGCAGGAGAATGGCTTGGTCTGCTTTGGGGATTTGAGCAATGGATGAGGAGAGAAAGAGCTATAGGCAGAGTCCCGGCTGAAAACTCAGTAACAGGCTTCACTGCACTGCTGGGATCCAGGATTTAGATAAAGACAGAACTAAAAAACCTGAAAGGGCTTTGGCTCTGTTGGCCAAAAATAGCACAGAGCAATTGTAAAGGGGGTCTTTACTGGCAAGGAAACAGCTTCATTGAGGGGCGTGTATAATGAGCACAGCCTGTGAAGCAGAGGCGTAAGGGTCAGGTTTAAGGCTTGGTGGAGTCAGGGTGAGGGACCCATCTGGTTTGTGCATATTCAGTCGTTTCCCAGGAAGTTTATACATATTTATGAGAGGAAAAGGTAACCACCCCCAGTGAAAGAACATACAAAGAACATTCATCCCATGCATAGAAAATGGTGGAGAAACGGCATCAAGGTGTGTTTAGTGTGACAGTGAGGACAGAGGTGTCAGTACCCAGGTATGTGCAAGGCTCTGTCTGGGCGCCATCAGAGCCCAAAGAATGTAGCTATAGTGGGGACTGGAGGAATAGTGCAGGGGTTAAGGGAGTGTCCCCTGAACACAGAGCCGGGAGTAAAACCTGAGCACTCTTGGGTATGATTCCCCCCCCCAAAAAAAAATAAAGATAAAAAGAATGGAACAAAGTAATTTCTCCAAGGGGGATGTCCACATCCTTCAGCTGAATGCCTCAGTGCATCTGGTTTTAGCTTTCTTCACCCCAGAGAGTCCTTGTGTACTTGGTGGGGGAAGGACAGGGGACACCAACTTCAAGAAGTTTTGATTATTCCATTTCTGTTCAGATTACTGCTACTCTGGGCCCACTGGGACCAGTCACTTGCCTACGTAGGTCTCGTTCTTTATTTTTATTTTTTGCTTTTGGGGTCATACCTGGTAATGCTCAGGGGTTACTCCTGCATTGCTCAGGGGACCACATGGGATGCCAGGGTTTGAACCTGGGTGTGCTGCGTTCAAGGCAAATGCCCTGCCCACTGTACTATTGCTTCAGTTCCCAGTCTCATTTTTCTTATCTATAAAATGGACAAAAATCCTGTCTACCTTCCCAGTGTCATTGCCTAGATTATTTGATACAGGCAAAGGATTTATAATGTCTGGCATGTCATAAGCACTATTCAGCCATGTTCATTAAGATCTGCCCCAGTAATCAACCTTGTAATATCAAGACTTCTAAGTACTCTTGACTCTGATAATAATAAGTCACTTGTGTATTACTCTTTAGAAAAACTTGATTCCATTTATTACTTATAGGTTACTGCAGGAGTGATTTCTCCATTTGTAAATGAATAGAGAACAGCCTAGGGAGATTAAAGGATTTCCTCAAGGTCTGGGATGGTAGCTGAGGTGGGCCTTGTGTTCCTCTGGTACTTAAATCCTCAGGGAAAATGTTTTCCTTTGATAAAATGACGCAGAAGGAGGACAGAGAACCTCCTGGAGGCAGAAGGAGAGCAGGGAAATTGTTGGTGCCCCAAGATGAATTTATTGATTAGCCCTGAGCCAATCATGCAGAAATCCCTTGTCACTTCCTCACCACACTTCTAGGCATCCCTTTCAAATTTTCAGGGCCAGGGGCTACAGAGATAGCACAGGGGTTAAGGCGCTTGCCTTGCACAAAGTGGCCTGCCCTGGGTCGATCCCCATTTGGACGTCAAATGGTCCCCTGAGCACCACCAAAGTCACTCCTGAGCACTACCAAGTATCACCCATCCAATTCTACTTCCTTCCAAAAAAAAAAAAACAGAAACAAAACAACAACAACAACAACAACAACAACAAAACACCTTCTTCATAAGTTCTCAACTTGATTTAAATACCTTGATGAAATTCGAGCTAGCAAAGTGAGAGGCCTGTCTGGGCACTAGAGTTAATCATTCATGAACACAGCTAAGGCATCGTAGTGTAAGCAGCTGTAGCGTATTTGTTGAAACCTGGAGCTGGGGTGTCAGATTGAGCAAATATTGACAAGCAGGGAAAGGTTCTCATGGAACGCATGTCTAACATGCACCTTGTCAGAAGCAATCTGCAAGGTCCTGAGAACTGGCGTGATTTCAGCATCTTTCCCCAAATTTTTCCTGGCGTGTCTCTGAATCCTGCTCTACTGAATTAGGCTTTTTGACTGGTTAGCCAAGAGAACGAGCTGAAAAGACCCCAGCTGCTTCTCAGCCAACAGTTCCCTCCTGCCCTGGCTAATGAGACAAAGACAGAAGAGGTGTGGAAATGGTGGTGAGGGAATTCCCCCATGCAGGCCTGCATAACTGTAATTAGTCGATTTTCTGGTCTAGAAACCCTTTTGGGGCCTGGGGAGGAAAAAGGGATCAGTTGACAAGTAGCCCTTAATTGGGAAGGAAAGCAAGTGACTTATTTTTGTTTATTTGAATTTTATTATTATATTGTTCCCACAGTGTATAACTTTATTTATATGGTAAGATGCCAGGTAATGCATGTGAGTGTGTAATGATGGAGTAGACCTGGGTCTCGTTCTCCATCTCAGACCCCTCCACAGATAGGAGCAGACATCTGAACAGCTGATGTAATTAGACCAGCGAGACCAGCACGGCCCAGGCTGCACCGTCTTGGAGGCCAGATGTGTTTCCTATCACGAATAGGGTTCCTTGATATTGAATTTTATTATTGTCAATTATTTTTACAATGAAGTCCACCACCTTCTCTCACACCGTATGTTCTCCCATTCCCCCCACCCCGTCTTGCCTCAGGTAACCACAGTGTTCACTGGCTTATCTTACTTGGTTTTGTCTGTTCATCAATTTTATATCCTTATACTGCACTGTCGCACTGTAGCACTGTCCTCCCATTGTTCATCGATTTGCTCAAGCGGGCACCAGTAACGTCTCCATTGTGAGACTTGTTACTGATTTTGGAATATCAAATACGCCATAGGTAGCTTGCCAGGATCTGCCATGCGGGTGGGATGCTCTTGGTAGTTTGCCAGGCTCTCCAAAAGGGACAGAGGAATTGAACCCACATCAGCCATGTGCAAGGCAAAGTCAGGAGTAGCCCCCAAGCACTGCCCCATGTGGCTCAAAAACAAAACAAAATATTCCATCAGCTGGGGAGATAGTTCGAAGGGCCAAAGGGTCTGCTTTGCACACCAGAGTCCTGGGTTCAATCACCAGGCACCCACATTCTGAAGAGTACCTCCAGGAGTGGCCCTGAGCATTGATCCTGGACTAACCCCCTGAGCACTGTCAGGTGTTTCTCCTAAACAAGCCAAAATAGCCCCACAAATTCAGGTACTTCATAGTTGCCACTGTTTAGTGGGTCCCTTCTTATATCCCCTTCAAGGTAGGTGTCCTTAAACCTTCTGGCCAGGTGAGCACACTAATCCTCAGTCACTCGCCAATAGTGACACAGCTAATAAATGAGTAAGTGGACTCAAACCCAGATCTGCCATGTTATCTTCTATACAGTGAGGTCATGTATCAGTGGGTTTCCCATGTCCTGTGATATCTGTGCCAGGTTGAACACCCAGGAACTTGGGGTGTGAAGGGGGCCCGAGGGTTAAAAGCAGGCCTCCAAGAGCCCTGCTTCACATAACTCTTTGTCTTTGCTTTTGTGATTTAGAAAAGGGATCGTCATCCTGCAAAGTGCGCCCTGCCTGCACAGACCAGGATTACTTCTACACGCATACAGCCTGTGACGCCAACGGAGAGGTGGGTGGCCATCTCCGGGGACTCTCCCAGCCCTGCAGTGCCCACAGTCAGGGACCCACCCCAGGGAAATCCCACAACCTTTCAAGGGAACCCCAGGGCCAATGAGAGGGAAAATGATGAAGGCATCTCGTTCACTTCCAGCTCAAAAAAGGTTCCAGCTGCTTTTTCGTTTTTTTTTTTTTTTCCTTTTTGAGGTCACACCCAGCTGTGCTCAGGGGTTACTGCTGGCTCTGCACTCAGGGATCACTCCTGGCAAAGCTCAGGGGATCATATGGGATGCCAGGGATCGAACCCCGGTCAGCCGCGTGTGAGACAAGTACCTTACCCACTGTACTATCTATCCAGTCCCCATCTGCTTTTCATCATCACCCCTGAGGGGGCCCGTGTTTTCTGAGAGTTCATCACTGTGCTGGGCACCACCTGCCGGTGGAGATCCCAAGATGCCTGAGAGAGGCCCTGACCCTCAGGGAGCTAAAACTGTGGGTGCATGCGTGTGTGTGGGGGGGGGGGGGTGGGGAGGATGTGGGTGTGGGTATGTGAGAAAGAGAGAGAGAGAGAGAGAGAGAGAGAGAGAGAGACAAACAGACACAGACACAGAAACACAGAGAGAGAGAGAGAAGAGACAGAGACACAGAGGGAAAAAATGAGCCTGACCACCACTAGGAGTACCCACAGCTACCAGCCAGGGCGCAGGGAGGCCTTTGCACCTTGAGCAGTCATCGGCCGACCCTGGGCATGCCCAGCCTCACCTCCTGCCACAGGCATGAGCGAGAGGGTAACCCGTATGCAGCTTCTCACCAGCCCCAAGACTGTTCTCAGCACCTACCCCCATCTTGGCTGGGTCCGGCCTCTCTCAGTTTAAGGCCCTGCCACCAGGCTGCTTTGATCCATTTCAGTTCTGCTCTCGCAAATGCCTGCCCACGTCCCTTCGGTACTGCAGCTTTACGGTGGTGCAGAAGTGTAAGATCTCTCTGAGCTGGCATGGCCCCCGCCTAATACTGGGAGCCCGTGTGACGGCCGCGCTGCCCACTGCACCTGGGGCTCCTGTGTCCCTTGGGCTGGTGTCTCTCCTCTTGCCCCGTCCAGCTGATACTTGTGCTTCCCCACTGACGGTGGCTCCCAGCACTCTGGCTCACAGATAACTCTTGGCCTTTTCTATCATGCTACCATATACACACAAAAAAAGGCAACGCGAATTCTTAAAATACACGCTGGGACCCTCGGTCAGTCCTGGCTGCAGCCGGTTGCCTCTGCTCCTCTGTTTGTGTTCTGGGTTTTTCTTGGGGTGCTTTGCCTATGACCTATGACCTGAAAGCAGTAAGAGTCTACATTAGAATCAAGGCTTCTCTGGGACAGTGACCATCCCCTTCCCTCTGTCATGTGTCCCCATTAAGTATATTCTCTTCATCTAGTTGAAAATTACTGACCAGATTTTGTTTGCTTCTTTCTAACTTTCTTTTGTTTGGGGGTACTACCCCTGCTGGTACCCAGGACTTACCCCTGGCTCTGTGCTCAGGTACTCTCTTCATGGGCTCATGGGACCATGTAGTGTGCCTGGGGCCATATCCAGGTCAGCTGCGTGCAAGGCAAACGCTTTACCTGCTGAACTATCTCTGCAGCTCCCTTTCTGTATTTCTAATAAAGGCCACACCTGGCCGTGCTCAGGGGCCTCAGGGCCTGTCCCAACAGTGCTCACTCCAGCTATGATACTTGGGAGCCACTAGGGCCACCCCCAGTGTGTTTTAGGGGGAGAGGGTTTGCAGAGCCTGGGATCAAACTCAGGCCTTGAGCATGCTGGGCTCTGCCAACTCGAGCCGTCTCCCGGGTCCCTCACTTGCTGAATCAAGTCATGTGCCAGGCTCTACGCTGTGTCCTTGGGGGCATCAGTGACCGGAACAAAGTTCCCCACATTGCATGGAGCTATTCACCGTTGTCCAGAATCCACCCATCAGGGAGCCTCCCAAGGACCGGTTCACTCCACACAGGCTCATCTCTGTCCCCTCCCTTTCTGCAGACGCAGCTCATGTACAAATGGGCCCAGCCGAAAATCTGCGGGGAGGACCTGGAGGGCGCGGTGACGCTGCCCGCCTCGGGCGTGAAGACCGTCTGCCCGCCCTGCAATCCCGGCTTCTTCAAGACCCACAACAGCACATGCAGCCCCTGCCCTTACGGCTCCTACTCCAACGGCTCTGGTAACCTACTCTCCACAGCGCTCTCCCCAGCCGCACACCGCCTGGGAGCTCAGAACATTTGGCTGCGTGTGGATCATGCAGGGCAGGGAGGCACCAGGTCACCCCTGAGAAGGACATCCCAGGGAAGCCAGGGTCCCAACAGTGGCCCCCAGAATGTGTCCGGGACATTAGTGAGAAGGACTGGGGGTGACTGGCCTCACCCACCAGAACCTGTCACAGAGCTGTGGAAAGGGGTGTGGGGTCCGGGGGACCTGACTGGAGTGCAGCTGCGTTTACTGAAGTAGTAACAACTAATAGAATACTGAAGCTGCATCTAAGTTTGGAAAAGGGAAAATACTGGGTAGGCAAGTCGGGGAGTTGTGGTGTTAGAACCAAGGGAGAGGGTTGGCGTCTGTTGACTACACTGTAAGAATGTTTCTGAGGGGCCAGGGAGATAGTGCAGGGTTTGGGACACCCTGAATGTGTAGCTTTAGTGGTCCCCAGGCTCTGCAGGGCCTGAGCAGCACTGCTTCCTCAGGACAGTGCCAAACATCCCACGTGGTGGGCTGAGAACTGCCAGGAGGGGCCCCGTTTCCCCCTGAACACTGCTGGAGGGCCCTCCCTGTTGCCCATAAAAGGTTTTTTTGTTTGTTTTTTTTGCTTTTTGGGTCACACCCAGCAATGCTCAGGGATTACTCCTGGCTTTGCACTCAGGAATTACTCCTGGCAGTGCTTGGAGGACCATATAGGATACCGGGGATAGAACCTGGGTTAGCTGTGTGCAAGGCAAATGCCCTATCTGCTGTGCTATCACTCTGGCCCCGCCCATAAAAGTTTTGAATCAAGTTGATTCCACTGTGCAAAGGAGCCCCTCGTAGTGCTGGAGCGATAGCACAGCAGGTAGGGTGTTTGCCTTACACACGTCCGATATGGGTTCGATTCCCAGCATCCCATGTGGTCCCCCTGAGCATCACCAGGAGTAATTCCTGAGTGCAAAGCCAGGAGAAACTCCTGTGCATAGCTGGGTGTGACCCAAAAAGCAAAAAAAAAAAAAAAAAAGCTCCGCACCCTGCTGCTTGACTGCCTGCCTCGATGTCACTTTCTGAGGGAGTGGGCAGCCCCAACTGAATATTCGTGCTTGTGCCCCCCCCCTCCCCCCAGACTGCAGCCACTGCCCGGCTGGGACGGAGCCTGCAGTGGGATTTGAGTACAAGTGGTGGAACACGCTGCCGGCCAACATGGAAACCACCGTGCTCAGCGGGATCAACTTCGAGTACAAGGGCATGACAGGTAACAGCCCTGCCAGGGGCTAACAGCTCACGGAGGAGGGCTGGGGCTCCAAATTCACCTGTCTGGAAGAAAATGCCCTAAGCACCAGGCCAGATGTTCCCTTCTTGGAGGGCAGATAGTGTGCCAAACCCCAGACCAGGAACAGAAAAAGAACCGGAAGTAATAGCCCACAGCTTGAGCACCGTGCTTCCTGCTTGACCGTGACAGTGCCACCCCACAGGATGGCGATGCTCCCTGTCTCTCTCGTCTCTGTCTCCGCCTCTCTCCCCCTAGAGTATCGCCTGGGTCCGTGTGACCCTTCATCTGTGCTCACTCTTGCTCCTCCCTCTGCAGGCTGGGAGGTGGCTGGTGATCACATTTATACGGCTGTTGGAGCCTCCGACAATGACTTCATGATTCTCACTCTGGTCGTGCCAGGGTTTAGGTGAGGAATGAGGGCCACGGGGGAGCCCAGTCCCCCACGTCCCACACATTTTGGGGTGTCCAGGCATGTAACAGAGTCCAAACCATGGGGAGGGCTGGGCGGGGGACTTTGAACCCTGCTTCAGGGGCTTCGTGACTGCCTAAACTTACCTTCCTGCTGTTCTCTTGTCCCTGGAAAGCAGCTCAAATTCTTCCTCCCCAGCCTCATACACACTTTTAGAAAGAGGCACACAGGGCTAGAGCAATGGTACAGAGAATGGGGTGCTTGCCTTGCATCTGACCCAGGTTCAATCTCCAGCACCCCATATGGTCCCCCAAGTCTTTCCAAGAGTGATCCTGAGCACATAGCCAGCAGTAAGCCTTGAGTAACAAACAAAATTTCAGCATCAAAACTATAAAAAAGAGGGGCTGGAGCGATAGCACAGTGGGTAGGGCATTTGCCTTGCACATGGCCGACCCGGGTTTGATTCCCAGCATCCTGTATGGTTCCCTGAGCACCACCAGGTGGAATTCCTGAGTGCAGAACCAGGAGTAACCCCTGTGCATGGCTGGGTGTGACCCAAAAAAGCTATATATATATATATATATATATATATATATATATATATCATTGTATCACTATCATTCTGTTGTTCATCAATTTGCTTGAGCAGGCACCAGTAATGTCTACACCTGTCCCTCTCACATGCTAGTGTAGCCCGATGGCGTACTGGGGGTTCTTTCATGGTCAGGGGAATGAGAACCGTCATTGTTACTGTTTTTGGCACATCGAGTAAAGAGGGCCCAAAGGGCCAGAGAGAGGGTACAAAGGTTCAAGGCTCTTCCCTAGTGAGTCTGCCAACCCCACCCCTGATTCAAGTCTCAACAATGCATCTAGTTCCCTGAGCACTGCCAGGCCGGGACCCAAGCACAGAGCTAGGTGTGGCCCCCAAGCACTGCTGGGTGTGGCCCTGAAACAAAATGGGAGGGTCAAGAGACTCTGCCACAGGTCTGGCTTGAAGCTGGCTCAGGACCCCCTCCGCCCTACTTCTCCATTCTCTGAGCCAGGCACAGGCTCCTTGACTGAAGAGGAGGTCCAAGGGGTACCTCTCACCCTGTGGTGAACCATTGGAACTGTCCAATTGCTGAAAGTAGCCCATGTGACTTTACAGCAACGCTTTATCCCTTAGGATCTAATATAGCCTCGAATACGATCTCTCCGGTGTTTTGCATGAAACATTTCTCTATGATTTCATCTTAATGGCATCTTTGTAGAATCAAGACACATAACTTTTCTTTTGTGTTTTTGTTGTTGTTGTTATTGTTATTGTTGTTTGGAGGACATTCCTGGTGGTGCTCAAGGGTTACTTCTGGCTCTGCACTCAGGGATCACTCCTGGCTGTGCTCAGGGGACTATATGTGGTGTGGAGGATTGAACCCATGTCTGGCACGTGCAAGGCCAACACCCTACCCTCTGTACTACCTCTCAAGGTGCCAAGATGGACACCAAGATATGACTACCCTCTGTACTACCTCTCGAGACACCAAGATATAACACCAAGACGCATCACTTTAAAATAAGAGAGAAGGTCAAAAGTGTCCTTTGATGGACTGTCTTTATTTTGGGCAAGTTGATTTGGATCAATTTTACGGTCGTATTTATCCCCTTATCCCAGGAAGACCTGAGACAACAAACCGTTTGTTTTGACTTTTCAGAACCACTGTGGGTGGGTCAGAGAGATAGTGTGGTGGTTGAGACACTTACCCAGCATGAAGCTGTGGCCACAGCCCTGGTTCAAATCCCGCACTGCATAATGTTCCCTGAGCACTGCTGGCTGAAGTCCCCAAACCAATGGGGCTGGAGAGAGAGTGCTGCAGATAAGGTACTTGCCTTGCATATGCCCAACCCAGGATCAATCGCTGGCACCCCATATGGTTTCCTGGACCCCACCAGGAGTGATCCCTGATGTCAGGGCCAAAAATATAAGCCCTGAGCAGCATAAAGGTGTGACCCAAAAGCAAAATCCAAACAAACAAAAACGTCACTGCAGACAGTGTGGTGTGGTGGAAAGGTGCTGAACGTGCCTTTTACTGAGTGTACTTGGGAAAGTCACCTTGTCCCTATGGTTTCAGGCTTTATTTATCATCTGGGAAAAAATGGAAATGACAGTTTGTGATTTGGACTGAGGCAGGTTGCGCTGATTTTTTTTCCAGCCCACTTGGTTGGCAGGTTGTATAGACAGGTGCTGACTTGGAGTGAACACATGAAAGAAGTCATAATTGGATTTCCAAAGCCCAGAAAGCACATCTGCTCATATGTGCTCTTAGGATGAAGGGGAATGAGATGGGGGTGGGGGAACAAGATCTCTACTGGCTGAGCATGTGCTTCGAATACGGGAGGCTGGGACTTGATTCTTGTACCCCATGACGCCCTGCACTGCCAGGAGCTGTCCTCTTGAACAGTAAACTGGGAGCATGCCTGCCATCTGCCATCACCACCACCAGGGGTGGCCCAAAGAACAAAAAAGATAAGGGGGAGCTGGGGCCAAGGAGATAGACTAGTATGTGAGGCCCCAGATTCAATCCCATGTACCACATGGTCCCCCAGATACTGCCAGATATGACCCTGGTGGCCCCCAATCCACTGGGAAATGCCCTTCCCAGCAAAATAATAGGAAAACATGGAATGTTTTTTTTTTTCTTGCCAATTTGACTTCTCCATCCTCTCATTTAAAAGCTTTCTCATGGAGAGAACAAAAGGGAATGCCCTGCCACAGAGGCAGGGTGGGATGGGGTGTTGGGGGGTGGAGGGATACTGGTATCAGTGGTGATGGAGAATGGGCACTGGTGGAGGGATGGGTACTCGATCATTGTAAAACTGAAACCCAAGCACAAAAATTTGTAAGTCTACAACTGTACCTCATGGTGTTTCACTAATAAAAATTTAAAAAATAATAATAAATAAAAGCTTTCTCACAGAGGGCTGGAGCAATAGCACAGTGGGTAGGGCATTTGCCTTGCACGCAGTCGACCTGGGTTCATTTCCCAGCATCCCATCTGTATGGTCCCCTGAGCACTGCCAGGAGTAATTCCTGAGTGCAGAGCCAGGAGTAACACCTGTGCATTGCTGGGTGTGACCCAAAAAGCAAAATAAGTAAATAAATAAAAGGTTTCTCACCGAGCCCAAAAGAGAGCTTAGTGGGCTGGAGCTCACGTTTTGCATGCAGGAGGCCTGGATTCCATCCCGAGAACCACCTGATTCCCCAACCACCACTGGAGAACCCCGTGAGCACTGATATGGAAGTAGGTCCAGAGCCAGAAGTAAGCCCTGAGCAGAAGCAGGTGTGTCTCAAAAACAAATAAAAAAACTTAATTTTTTTTAAAAGTTAATTTAAAAAATATTCCCAGACAGTACAGTGAGTAAGGCACTAGCCTCTTATGTGGCCAACCTGGGGTCTGTCCCCAGCACCACATACGATGTGACCCAAAATTTGAAAAAGATAAAATGATTTTCCTTGTCTCCTTAATTTACATTTTTTAAAACTGTGCAGATAAATCCTTGGTTAGCCAGGTAAGCAAACTTTTTTTTTTAATGTAGGAGTACTGCTATTTATTCAGCCATTGATTAAGCTGATTGAACTGGGCGTGAACTCCACATTACATTTTTTTCTTTTTTTCTTTTTAAATTTTTATTAGTGAGACATCATGAGGTACAGTTGTAGACTTACAAATTTTTGTGCTTGGGTTTCAATTATACAATGATCAAATACCCATCCCTCCACCAGTGCCCATTTCCCACCACCATGGATCCCAGTATCCCTCCCACCCCCCACCCCACCCCCATCCTACCCTGCCTCTGTGGCAGGGCATTCCCTTTTGTTCTCTCTCTGATTGGGTGTTTCCACATTACATTTTTAAAATTTTTTTTAATTGGATATCCATGAGATAGACCATTACACAGCTGTTCATAATTGGGTTTCAGTCATACAATGATCCAGCACCCATCCCTTCACCAGTGTACATTTCCCACCACCAATGTCCCCCGTCTCCCTATCACCATCCCCCACCCCTACTCCCTACCCCAGCCTCCCTCTATGGGCAGCACTTTCCTTCTTGCTCTCTCTCTTTTTCCTTTTATGCATAATGGTTTGCAATGCAGGTATAAGAGGTTATGGTGTTTGTTTAGGGCATTCAGTATTTTTTTTTTGGCTTTTTGGGTCACACCCGGCGATGCTCAGGGGTTACTCCTGGCTCATGCACTCAGGAATTACTCCTGGCGGTGCTCAGGGGACCATATAGGATGCTGGGAATCGAACCTAGGGTGGCCATGTTGGCTGCGTGCAAGGCAAACGCCCTACCCACTGTGCTATCGCTCCAGCCTTGGCATTCAGTATTTTTATCAGGATGGTAAGACTGGAATAGCTTTTCAATTGGGTGGCAGCTTTGGGGTGTAGATGTAATTGCCAAAGCTTCCGGAAGTACAGGGAAGTGGGGGGAGATATCCCATCCCGACCCCAGGAAAGCCTGGGGATTTCAGTCACAAAACCCACATACCAAAATTTTCAGCAGATTATATCTTGGTGAGGTCCATCCTGAGACGGTGGAGTCAGGCCAGGAGTATGGTGGTGATTTTGGCTTGTGGAAGCAAGTGACTATCGGGAGTTCTGCTTGGGTGGGCACAGGCCAACCTGCCCCCTTCTAATTTACCCCAGTCTATTCAGCCATGCGCGGTTTTGAGTTTAACTGCAACTTTTGATCTCTTTCGAGATTTATTTATTGTTCTCTGAAGCAAGGCCAGTAGTAGAGTTTACGGGATGGCACTGGAGTTGGTTAGTGGGGGTGACTGCCAGTGCTTCCATGAGTATTCGAAGTGGCGGAAGGAAGCCCACCTCAACTCCAAGAAAGCCTGGAGATTTCAGTCACAAAACCTGCGTACAGAATTTTCAACAGATTATATCTTGGTGAGGTCTGTTCTAAGATAGTGGAGTCAAGCCGAGGGTATGGGGGCAATTTTGGATTATGGAAGCAAGTGGCTGCTGGGGGTTCTGCTTGGGTGGGCCACCAAACCAACCTTCTCCCCTCCAATTTTCCCAAGTCTGTTCAGCCATACGTTCAGCCAACATTAAAGTGGCTTTTGATCTCTTTCAAGATTTGTTTATGGATCTCTGAAATAAGGCCAATAAATGAGCCTGTATAGCTGAGCCGGAGGTGGTTTGTGGGCCTGGCTTCCACATATCTAACTTTTGACCATTTCATTTCTTGGTGAACTTGGTCCCAAGTTGTTGAGGTCTTGCCAAAGGCAAAGCAGCAATTTTGAGGTGTCAGTAAGCCTGAAGGCACCATCAGGCTTCTGATGCACTCACCCCGCAGGTACAGGTTGACCTGTTGGTGGCACCATACTCCCTAGGTAAGCAAACTTTAAGCTTTTTTTTTTTTAATCCCTCCTGGGGGAGTGGGGATGGCTAATATTCCAAAAAGGCACTTTTCAATTTGCAGAGAATCTATTGCCACAGACTGAGGGTTGCTGGGGGTTGCTGTAGAAAAATCTCTCTTATGATGAAGATAGTGCCCACTCATTGCCTAAGTTGCAGGTTCTTTTTTGGATATTTGTTTGTTTTGTTTGGGGGCCACACCTGGCTGTGCTCAGTGCTTACTCCTGGTTCTGCACTCTGGAATCAATCCTGGCTGGACTCTAGTATCCAACCGAATGGAGTGCTGGGGATCAAACCAGGGTAGGCCGTGTACAAGGCAAGTTCCCTACTCACTGTCCTAGGGCTCCAGCCTAACCTGAAAATCTTTTTTTTTTTTTTCTGGTCTTTGAGCTGTACCTGTAGATGCTCAGGGCTTACTCCTGGATCTTCACTCAGGAATTACTCATGGTAGTGTTCAGGGTACCTTATGGGATGATGGGGATCGTACCCAGGTCGGCCACATGCAAGGCAAACACCATACCGGCTCTCCTATTGCTCCAGCCAACCTGGAAATTCTAACTTAATGGATTTGGGGTGGAGCCTGAGGGGCATATGTCTAATAAGTTCTGGGTGCTGCTGCTCGGGGAATACACTCACAGAGCGACTGCATAGCAGGGAGCAAAGCACTTCCACATTTAGTACTATTATTATTATCATTTGGGAGGGGGCTACACCTGGCTGGATGTAGGGGCTCCTCCCAGCTCTGTATTCAGGGTTCATCCTAGAGGTACTCAGGGGACCACACAGTCCTAGGGGTGGAACCGGGCTCCTACATGCGAAGTCTGTGCTCCAGTCATTGAGCTCCCTCCTTGGCGCCAACGTCCACATCAACTCTATCTTTGGCTCTCACGGCAGCTCAAGGGGCAGATCTGAAATAGCCATCACGTCTGTCTTACATAGCGTAGGAACCTGCAATTGGGCTAAGTCAAGGCCACAAAGCTAGACTGGCAGGATCGGACTGAGTCTGTGCTGTTTCCTATAGCTTGAAACTTAATCCTGGATCCCAGCAGACCCAGGACTGCCACTGGCCTCTACCACTAACTGACTTTTCATCTCTGTCCCCCCTCCCCTGCCCACAAAGACCCCCAAAGTCGGTGATGGCAGATACAGAGAATAAGGAGGTGGCCAGGATCACGTTTGTCTTTGAGACCATATGCTCTGTGAACTGCGAGCTCTACTTCATGGTGGTATGTCTGTCTGCCTTCCTTGGCCTATGCAGGGGCTCCCCAGGACCACCAGGAGGGCTGGCCCCATCTACCCCTGGGGTGCACCCACAAAAGGCCCCTCTCTGCTTTTCCCGAAGTCACAGAATGAGGGCCCAGACTGATATCAGGGGTCTTCGCAACCCAACCTGGGTCTATTCCACCATGATGAACCCCTCCAGCTCCCAGGGCCCCCAGCCTATGTGCCCTTCTCACTCACCTGTCTGGGGCACAGGGTATGAACTCCAGGACCAACACTCCCGTGGAAACGTGGAAAGGGAACAAAGGCAAGCAGTCCTACACCTACATCATCGAGGAGAATGCGACCATGAGCTTCACCTGGGCCTTCCAGAGGACCACCTTTCATGAGACAGTAAGCCCCTCTGCACCTACATCCCAGGCAGGAGAGGCTTCCTCGTGTTAGCTAAATCCAGAATTCAAGTGCTAGAAGAGTTTGAAGCAGCCAGGCAGATCCCGGCCTTTCCCAGCCCTTGGAGGAGCACCCTTCGAGGCTTGTCAGAGGACCTCCAGGAAGATGTCACGATGAGCTGCTCCAGGGATGTCCCTGCCCGGAAGTCCTTGGCCTTAGGACGTGGCTGGTGCCTGGCCAGCCCTGATGGCCCAGTTGTTACTTCAACTAATGATAATAATTCCAGGGGCTGGAGAACCAACTCCTCAGTTGGTACAGACTGGTATCCTGGGTTTGATTCCCAGCACCACCCAGAACAGCTAGTGAGCACAGAGCTAGAGGTAGCCAAGTGGCACCTCCAGGAGTAACCCAAAATCCAAACAAAATGAGATAGGGACCAGAGAAATAGTATAGCGTGTAAGGCCTTCGCCTTGCATGCAGCCAACCAGGGTTCAATTCCCGGCATCCCATCTGGTCCCCCAAGCACCGCCAGGAGTAATTCCTGAGTACAGAGCCAGGAGTAACCCCTGAGCATTGCCAGGTGTGGCCCCCAAACAAACAAAACCAAAACAAAAAAAGAGATAATAATAATAATAATAATAATAATAATAATAAAATAGTATCAAAACTCCAGTTTTCTTAACTCAAGATCATGCAGGATTATTGCAAGAAACTTGGAACATAGAAAGAGGCAAGAGGAAAGAAAATCATTCATAATGATCCCTCCCAGGGAGATTCCCTTTAACATCTGAAGTATATTCTCTACATTCTTGATTCCACTACAAGTGAACTTCTTCTTTTACAAAGAAAAGAACCTTCTTTTCCCATATAATAGAACCCAATGCGTATTTCCCCTCTGGCACGAAATAATTTCTCTGCATCCTTTTAAATTGTTTAAAATGACCCAGCGTGCACATAAAGAGCTACTGTTAAGTGAGAGGAATGGGATGCTTTAAAGTTTGGCTCAAGCGGCGTGGGGGGGAGGGGGGGTGCAGGGGGGAGAGGGATGAAGTGGCTCTTTATCACTTTCAGAGGCCTCAGGCCCCCGCCTTTCCTCTTGTCTCCTTGTGTGCAGGGCAGAAAGTACACCAGCGACGTCGCCAAGATCTACTCCATCAACGTCACCAATGTAATGAACGGGGTGGCATCTTACTGCCGTCCCTGTGCCCTGGAGGCCTCTGACTTGGGCTCCTCCTGCACCTCTTGTCCTGCTGGCTACTACATCGACCGGGAGTCAGGCACCTGCCACTCGTGCCCCCCGAACACGATCCTGAAGGCCCACCAACCCTATGGCTCCCAGGCCTGCATGCCGTGTGGCCCAGGCACCAAGAGCAACAAGGTGCTTGCCATGTGCCCTGCACCCCAACACGCACCCTCTGAATGGAGCCCTGCTGAGGGCACTGGGTTCCCCGTGGGGTTTTTGAGGGTTTCACCCCCAGCCCCAAGCCCTCCCATTCAGAAGCTCCCAGAAGAAGAGGGCCTGGAGATGCCAACCTGGGTTCTTAGCCATAGCTGTTGGTCATCAGGGCTTTAGCCTCAGTTGTGGACAAGTTTCATCTTCAGGGCAGGAGAGGTGATCGGTGACCGCCTGATTGATGATCAGTGGCTGGCCCAGAGGGTGACTTGGCCTCAGTGCAGAGGCGGAAGTGGAGGAGGAGGGAGGATTCTGTGGCTCAGACTTAGACTTGATGCAGCCTGCTACCATGGGCAGGAGCTGCCTTCGGGGACACAGCCCTCCTCCACCGGCCCGCAGTTAGGCGGCATTGCCCCTTATCCCCCAGCAGGCGGGCACTGCGGCAGCCCCACCTACTGTCTGACTCAGCCTAACAGCCAGGAGCTGTCTAGTGCTCATTCATGCTGTCAAGTGAATGTGTGTTCTGCCACACCAGCCGAGTTCACATGCCTGGAAGACTGACTTATACCCACTGCCAATGGGGCTTGGTTTAGCTATGCTGTAAATGCAGCAGTAGACAGACCCCTGACAATCTCTTGGGGCCTATATCCTGTCCATCTACTTATTTTCCAGCGGTGCCAGGGGTAGGATGCACAGACAGACAGACTGACAGACACACACACACACACACACACACACACACACACACACACACACCATACACTGGGCAAGTGCTCTGCCACTGAACCAAAACTTAGCACCTGGCCACCTCTTTTGGGTGCCTTTGCCGCAACCTTCTTCCCCTGGTGCTCTCTCTGCTACCCTGTACCATGGCAGGGAATGGCAGTTTTGAAAGGCTACTGCTCAAGGGTGACCCCAAAATGGAGCCAGGAAGGGAAACAGGTGCCCCCTTTGGAGTTCAGTGGCTCGGGAACTCTGTCCTACTTCTTTGAAGGCCCACACCCCCCCTAATTCGTGCTTCCTCTTCTTCCACCCCACAAACTGGGCCAGGCAGGTGTGTGGGGGTTAGAGGGCATTCCTAGGCTGGGAGGGGAGACGCCTGGCCTGAGCCACAGCCTTGGGGGTCCTCTCCCCGCAGATCCACTCTCTGTGCTACAACGACTGCACCTTCTCCATCAAAACTCCCTCCCGGACCTTCGACTACAACTTCCAGGCTCTGGAAAACACCAGCTCTCTGGCTGGTGGGCCCAGCTTCACTTCCAAAGGGCTGAAGTATTTTCATCACTTCACCATCAGTCTCTGTGGGAACCAGGTGAGGGGCGCAGTGCCCACCACAGGGAAATGGCCAGGGGACCCCAGCAGCTCAGAGCCCAGAAAGACATGGTCGAACAGGGAGAAAAACCCTAAGAGGGGTCACAAATGATTGTTCGCCCATATGCCTCTTTCCCCAAAAGCTAAATCACAATTTCCTAGTCATAATTTCCAAACATTTATATAAGGAAAATAAAAGTGTTCGGAAACAAGGTTCTTATGTATTCCTACCTGACCCTCAGTCCTTCCAACTGCCTAGTGAGAATCAGCCGGGAGGAAGTTGTTTTCTTTCAAGCATCATTCTTTGGTAACCATGGGGTGTGCCACTTGTTTTTAAGACAACAGTAAAAGAAAGTAAAATAAATGGATAAAAGAAATGGGTCTTGGTTCACCTCCATGTTTATTTGTTGATGCAACAAAGCAAAACAGCGTGACAGGCCTTATCAGTTAAGCAGAGAACCTTAGGGGCATACCAGCAGCCAGCAGCCTTGTCTCATCCTTGCAAATTCTTAGAGTCCCAAAGTTCAAGACAGAAGTCCAAAGTTCCTCAGCCCAGTATCTGCAGGGCGATTTCATCACAAGGAAGCCAGAGTTAGCAGCTGGCAAGTGGGCAGAGCAAAATGCAGAGAATTCAGAACCTTTAGTCCTCCTCCATGTGGTGTTCAGGCCTTGACGCCAAGGCCCTCACAGCTCCTTCCTGTCTTCTGCAACATGCAAGGACATGCATGTCTCTGGAGATGACACGCAGGATCCCGCAGTGGAGAGACGGCTTTGCAGGCAGGAGACCCAGCTTCCATCCCTGGCACCCAATGGCTCCCCCAGAACCACCAAGAATGACCCCCCTCTCCTAGCACTAAGCCGGAAATAGCCCCCAGCACTGCGGGGTATGCCCTAAAAACAAAATAACAAAACAGAACAGAAAACTTCAGTTATGTGTCATCTCCTATAGGGCATTTGCTTTGCATGCGGCTGACCTAGGTTCGAGCCCTGGCAGCCCATATGGTCCCCTGACCACCAGGAGTGATTCCTGAGTGCAGAGCCAGGAGTAACCCCTGAGCATTACCAGGTTATCTTTGCCAGAACCAAAGATTTAAAAAAAAAAAAAAGAGGTCCTTAATGGGCAGGCAGGTAGACCAGATCTCCTCATCAGCACCCCCACAACAGCTTTTCTCAACAGCGCCTCCTACTGACTCAAGGAAATAAAACACCTGGGGACCCCTGGGCCGGTGTTCCAGAAATGAGGGTGCCCCGGCGGTAATTCTGTCTTCTCGCCCCACTAGTCTGCTTTGCAGTTAGATCTGGGATGAATCCCTTCGTGGAGGCTGACAGAGAAGTGAAAACACTGCTCTCGGTCCCCTTTGGGGGCAGTGGGGCTGAGGGGATATTTCTCTAACTGCTCCCAACTTCCTGCCCACCCCTGCCCCCAGGGTAAGAAAATGGCTGTGTGTACTGACAATGTCACTGACCTCCGGGTGCCCGAGGGCACGCCAGGTTTCTCCAAGTTCATCAGCGCCTTCATCTGCCAGGCTGTCATCATCCCCCCGCAGGTGACAGGCTACAAGGCCGCTGTGTCCTCACAGCCAGTCAGCCTCGCCGACCGCCTTCTGGGTGAGTGAGTCCACTGCCCACTGCATGCCAGGAAGAGGGTGGAGCTCCTTGGTACCAGGGGAGCCCGTACCTGTTTCCTGTCCCATCCCTTTGGGTCAGGCTCCCCTGGGGACCTCTTGGCCCTCCTTGGCCTCTGGCTCACCCTCTCCTGTGACTGCAGGTCAGGGAGATGGGACAGTGAAAGGTTCTAAGAGCTCCCTCACCTGAGGTGAAGTGAGGACTAACTGGGAGCTACCTGTTGGCAGGAGTGACGACAGATATGACTTTTGATGGCATCCTGTCCCCCGCCGAGCTCTTCCATCCGGACTCCGTGGGGATCCCAGACGTGATCTTCTTCTATAGGTGGAGACATGAGATCAGCCTCTCTCAACAAAAACTGGGGGCTCCCCTGCAGTTTCTTTTCTTTTTTTGGTGGGGTGGGTGGAGGGGGAAGCGCACACCCAGCAATGCTCAGGGGTTACTCCTGGCTCTATGCTCAGGAATCACTCCTGTCAGTGCTTGGGATGTCGGGGATCGAACCCAGTTCGGTCATGTACGAGGCAAACACCCTTCCTGCTGTGCTATCACTCCAGCCTCCTCCCCCACAGCTTCTGTCACATCCCTTTCTCCCTGCCCCAGACCAGAATGAGTCTGAGGTCTAACAGAAATGACAGCGAAAGGCTGTAGTTGCCCTCAGCCCAGCTTTTTTTTTGGGGGGGGGGGGTGCTATTGGGGGCATGCCAGCCCTGGAGGCAGAGAGAGCTGTGGGGTCCCCGGGCTGACTTCCCTTCCACTGTGGAGGCTCTGGCTGGTCCTTTTCTCTGGGTCAATTTCCCCATCTCTCATCCCTGTGTAAGTCCAGGCCCCTGTCGTTCCCCCCCCCCACACACACACCCCAGTGTGTCAGTCTAAAGCCCATGTATTGTCTTCCTGTGTGAGGGAACCAATTTGTGCTGGCAGCCTCAGTGGCTCCCTTGTGGCACACCGTGACCCCTCGTCCCCACCCCCACCCCCCCACCCCCCATGGTGGGCTTTCTCTGCAGATCCAGCGACGTGACCCAATCCTGCAGTTCTGGGAGGTCGGCCACCATCCGGCTTCGATGCAGCCCACTGAAACCAGCCCCTGGAATTCTGTCGATACCCAGGTAATGGGATGTAACCAAGTCTCCCTTCCTCGGGCTCCTTCCATCCCGAGAGCTGGAGATCACCGAGGAAAGGAGGAGCAGAGGAGGATGGTCTGTGGCTCTGGTGGTGTAGGATGGGGGCTTCTCAGGGTCTATGGGCCACAATCCTGTCTCCTATCTTCAAGTGGCAATAACCAGGCAGAGGGCCAGAGAGATCTCATAGGTGTTAAGATGCTTGCCTGGCATCGCGCTGACCCTGGTTCAAATCCCCAAGTTCATATATGGTTCCCTGAGCACTGCCAAGGGTCCTTCCTGAGCATAGAGCTGAGCCAGCTCCTGAGTGTCACCAGGTGTGACCCAAACCCACCTCACTCGCCAAAGAAAAGAATGAGGCCAAAGGAAGAGCAAAGTGATTCCTCTGATTCCCAGGCCATTATGGGGACAGGTACAGAGCACAGTGGCTAACAGCTAAGGTTGAAAACCAGGTGGGAATCTTATCCTCTGTAACTGTAACTGCATTTCTTTTCTTCCTTAAGCCTTCCCCTTATCTTACCTAGAAAATGAAGTGATAATCAAATCCTTCGGGGCCTGGAGAGATAGTACAGAGGGGAGGAGTGCCTGCCTTGCACAAGGCCAACCCTGGCATCTCACATGGTCCTCCGAGCCCCACCAAGAGTAATTTCTAAGGGCAGAGCCAGGAGTAAATCTTGAGAATGACCGGGCGTGGTTCAGGGGTAAAAAAAAAATCAATCCCTCAGTGGATTATTGTGAGAATTACATGAGACACTTGAGGACTTCTCAAGATATCTGATATGTGCTTATATTATTCAAATGAGGAAAGATTTCATTGATCCTAGGAATTGCTTGATAACTAAAATACCCAGCTCTGAGTTTAATCTCTGAACACACTAAATCCAGAAGTCCTAAATTAATTTGACTACATCAAATTTTTTTACCCTACCCCATTTAAAAAATTTTTTTTCACATAATGCCAACAATTATCTTTTTGTTGTTGTAATCATTTGGGGGCCACACCCAAGAGTGCTCAGAGCTTACTCCCGGCTCTGTGCTCAGGGATCACTCCTGTTGTTGCTCAGGGCACCAGATGGAATGTCAGGGATGGAACCTAGGTCAGTCGCCTGCAAGGCAAACATGTGTAAGATTGCTCTAGCATCCCCCCACCCCACCAAAATATCTTGAGGCATTCCAGTTTCTTGAGGAAGAAGGTCTGGGAATGATGGATCCTAGTAAACAACTGCTCGAGAGAATGAGGAGCCAGGCTGGAGAACTCGACACAGCAGCAGTCACAATGTCAAATCACTGTGATCGAGAGCATCACAGTGAAGTACCGAACAGACAACTGTGGCCCAAAGGCATCTCCTGACCCCTCTCCAAGGAAGCTCCAGCAGACTGGCTTCTGACAAAGGTCCCATGGCCTGGGGAGGACAGACACCTTTGGGGGCTGGACAGCGAGACTACCAGGCCCAGACACCACGCAGTTCTCTGGGAAAGCTCAATCGAGGCCAGAAGGTCTCTTTCCAACAGGGGACCAGGAGAGCGATCCTGGATTAAGGGTTATTTGCAAAGATCCTGGTAGGGCCCACAGTTTGGCCTTTTTTATTTTTTCTTTTTTTTGGGGTGACACCCGACGATGCTCAAGGGTTGCTCCTGGCTCTGCACTCGGGAATCACTCCTGGTGGTGCTCGGGGGACCGTATGGGATGCTGGGAATCGAACCTGGTCAGCCACATGCAAGGCAAACGCCCTACCACTCCAGCCCTCCATCTTTTTTCTTTTCTTTTTTTCCCCCCTATGATTTGCAAAGTTATGCATATTTGGGGTTCAGTGTTCTAGCACCAGTCCCTGTGTTCACTGGCCTCCCCCCAGCCTGTCGCAATGACAAGCACTGTAATTTTTTTTTTATTTTTTAGTGAATCATCATGAGTTGCAGTTACAGGCTTACAAACTTTCTTGCTGCATTTCAGTCATACAATGATCGAGTACCCATACCTCCACCAGTGCCCATATCCCATCACCAGTGATCCCAGCATCTCTCCCACCACCCCCACCTCGTCCCCTCCACCCCACCCTGCCTCTGTGGCAAGGCATTCCCTCTTGGTCTCTGTCTCTTTGGGGTGTTGTGGTTTGCAATAGAGGTATTAAGTAGCCATCGCATTCGGTCTATAGTCTACTTTCAGCCCACATCTCCCGTCCTGAGTGGGTCCTCCTGGCACCCTTTACTTGGTGGTCCCTTCTCTATCTGAGCTGCCTTTTCCCCCAGTATGCGAGTCTGACTTCTAAGCTGTAGAGTGATCCTTCTGGTACTTATCTCTACTATTCTTGGGTGTTAGTTTCCCATTCTGTAACTTTATATTCCACAAATGAGTGCAATCTTTCTATGTCTGTCTCTCTCTTTCTGACTCATTTCACTTAGCATGATACTTTCCATGTAGAACCACTTGTATGCAAATTTCTCAAAAAATTAGAAATTGAACTCCCATTTGACCCAGCAATACCACTTCTGGGAATATATCCCAGAGATGCAAAAAGGTATAGTAGAAATGACATCTGCACTCGTATGATCATTGCTGCACTGTTTACAATAGCCAAAATCTGGAAAAAACCCGAGTGCCCGAGAACAGATGACTGGTTAAAGAAACTTTGGTACATCTACACAATGGAATACTATGCAGCTGTTAGAAAAGATGAAGTCACTTTTTTTTTTTTAATTAATTGGCGAGGAGAAAATGGCACCGGCAATGGCAGGGCTCCCTCCCGATCCCCCCCGCCGCTCCCGGAAGGATGAGTGCTCACGTCTCCTTCCCACTTTGCCAGTGCCTGCTCCGATGGGACCTGTGACGGCTGCAGCTTCCACTTCCTGTGGGAAAGCGTGGCCGCCTGCCCGCTCTGCTCCGCGGCCGACTACCACGCCATCGTCAGCAGCTGTGTGGCCGGTATCCAGGTAGGTGTCCCCGTGGGGGCAGGGAGAAGGGAAGGTGGTAAAAGGGCAATTGAGTTTCTCATTCCTTTGTTTTTCTGCCCCCCGCAGAAGACGACATATGTGTGGCGGGAACCAAAGCAATGTGCTGGAGGCATCTCACTGCCCGAGCAGAGAGTCACCATCTGCAAAACCATCGATTTCTGGCTGAAAGTTGGCATCTCTGCGGGCACCTGCACTGCCATCCTGCTCACTGTCTTGACTTGTTACTTTTGGAAAAAGAACCAAAAGTATGTGATGGGAGGCTGGCTTCCGGGAACCTGTTTGGGCAGGGTGGGAGGAGGGTTAACTCAGGGGTCTTCTCGGGAACTGGCCATGGACTCCATTGTCCTGGCCAGAGGACTTTCAAGCCTCCTGTCCTGTGCCAGCCTTTTGCCCAGGGATGGTGCCATGTGGCATCGCTGTGTCAAGAGGAAAGGGAAGAGTAGCCTTGATTTATTGTTATTTGTAACAGAAAGGAATGTTTTCGTGATTGCAGTGGTATTGTGGGGTGGGAGAAGGCTGGGCCACACCCAAGGCAGCTCTGAGCTGTCCGTGGCTTTGTGCTCAGAAGCAGCCCTCAGCTGTGACCCATCTGCAGGTCTGGGGGAGCCAAGTGAGCACCTGACTTCCTGCATTTTCTCTCCAGCCCCAATTTCAATTTTTTTTTGTTGTTGTGTTGTTGTAGTTGTTGTTCTTTTAATTTAATTTTTATAAAGTTGTTCACAACAGGGGCTGGAGCCATAGCACAGCGGGTAGGGTGTTTGCCTTGCACGCGGCCGACCCTTAGTTCAATTCCCAGCATCCCATATGGTCCCCTGAGCACTGCCAGGAGTAACTCCTGAGTGCAGAGCCAGGAGGAACCCCTGATCATCTCTGGGTGAGACCCAAAATGCAAAAAAAAAAAAAAAGTTGTTCACAACAATTTATTACATTCAATATTCCAACACCAATCCCACCACCATTACTCCTTCCCACCACCATTATTTCGAATTTTCCCAACCATCACCCAAGCCTGCCCCAATCGCAGGCCCTAGATCATGTATTTTGTATTGCTGTTTACGAATAATTTACTAAATATGATCCCAAAAAGTTTCCTTAGCAGAAAGTGTGTGAAGATTGTTGTATCTCACCCTGTAGCCATTGAAGCCCTTGTGTAATGGATTACTAACATGTTCTTACAGGTTGAGCCCTGTGTGTTAGTATTGCCAATTTCATTTTTTTTTAAATTAAGCTTTGAGGTCTCAGAAATGGCAAGACTAAAGGACAAAAGATTACTGAAGGGGGCCCCAAGATTCCCTAGCTCTGTGCCCAGCCCGAGACCTTTGGTTTTGATTTTGGTTTTGCTTTTTGCTATGCTTCTGGGCCCTTAGCCTGGATGCGGGGCTGTTTGTGGCTTCTCTGGGTATCTACTGATAGCCCACCTGCCTTGTCCTCCCCCTGCCCGTGCCACAGACTAGAGTACAAGTACTCCAAGCTGGTGATGAATGCTACACTCAAGGACTGCGACCTGCCCGCAGCCGACAGCTGTGCCATCATGGAAGGCGAGGACGCGGAAGACGAGCTCATCTTCACCAGCAAGAGATCACTTTTCGGGAAGATCAAGTCATTCACCTCTAAGGTAGGGGAGTTGGGCCACACGGCTCAGTCCGGGGACACTGAGCGGCCTGACCTCTGTACAGAGACCACTGCCCTACCCACCATTCTACTCTGTCCCTGCGCCCTGAAAATGCTGGCTTTAGTCTTAGGTATTTCCAAAATAATACAGCCTCCCTTGGGCCCACGTCTGTACCTGTCCCAACCCGCTCTCCAGCCTATGGGCTTGAGCCAGCCCTCAGTCACCACCATTGTGGCTTTTCAAGGGGGTCAAGGGGGTTGCTTAGGGCAGGGAGGGATGGAAGCAGGGGTGAAGGGTCAGGGGTGACCTTTTGAATTCACTTCTTTTTATTTTCTTCTTGGGTTTTGGGTCACACTCCCGGCAATGCTCCATAGAACCTGAGTCCAGGTTCTATGCTCAGGAATCTCTTCTGGTGGGTACAGTGGACCATATGGGATGCCGGGGATTGAGCTTGGGTTGGTCACATGCAAGGCAAGTGCCTTACCCACGGTACTATCACTCTGGCCCTGTGAATCCACTCCAGAGAGCAGGCAGGCTCTCCTTTGACCAGGGTGGGGTGCTGTCTTCCAGCTGTCTGCCTGGGCCCGGGCCTTGGGCTGGAGGGTGCGGCTGAGTCATTACCAAGATCCTGTTGTTCTGGAGCAATTCCCAGCTGGCAGGGCCAGCTCTGTGTGGGCGGGCAAGGGAGTCTGAAGCTCATAAATGCAGCACAGACAACATGGTCACTGGGTGTGGGACCAGCAGCTTCCCTGGCATACAATAACCATAGCCTGCTTGGCCCACACCTACACCCCATTTCTATTCTGAACTGGTTCATCAAAGTCAGAATGGCCTGGGAGGTGGAAAGGCGGAGGGATGGGGAGGGAAGGAAGGGGTGGGTATGTGTGTTCAGTTGCTGAATTTCATTCTCTTTGTGCTGAATGCTAGGGCAACATCTTGGCCTTGGGTATATATATATATGTATATATACACACTCATAAATATATATACACATAAATATATATACATATATACACATATACATATTTACATATAAACAATGTCCTGTCTGTCACTGTCCTCCCATTGTTCATCGATTTGCTCGAGCAGGCCCAGTAACATCTCCATTTTGAAACTCATTGTTACTGTGTTTGGCACATTGAATACGTCACAGGTAGCTTGCCAGGCTTTGCCGTACAGGCGAGATACTCTTGGTAGCTTGCCGGGCTCTCCGAGAGGGGTGGAGGAATCGAACCCGGCTCGGCCGGGCTGCCTGCGCGCAAGGCAAATGCCCTACCACTGTGCTATCGCTCCAGCCCCATATAAACAATAATATATAATAAAATTTTGGTCCGTCTCTATCGGGGAAGACTCAGAGACTATAAAATCCAGATCCTGGCCGCGCGACATCTTATCAGAACTTTTCTTTATGACATCTTATTATCTCATTCCTACTTTGGACAAACTTGCAGGCTATCGAATGTAGCCTGCCCACAGGGCAGAGTCTGGCAAACTCCCCGTGGCTTACCAAATATGCCAAATACCAGTAACAATGATGGGTCTCATTCTCCTAAAGAGCCGTGAATATAATCTCAGGGCTAGGATGAAAGAGACGTTACTGGGGCCTGCTCGAGGCAATCGACGATTAACAGGATGATGAATATAATAAAATAGATATATAACTGTGTATTATGTGTATATAAAATACACACACACACATATTTAACCAATGGGAGAGTAATTTACCCCAAGAACCTTGAGTCTTCCTGGAACTTCTAGAATTCAGCAAAGATGCAAAGCAGGAAGTGGAAAACTTTTCTTCTCTGACTGGAGGGGAAGAACAAAGGGCCTCAGGTATACCTGTGCCACAGAGCCCTGGGCGTAGGCCTTCCAGCACCTGTTTTCCATTTCTCTCCTTTGTTCCCACCCTCGGCCCCGTGCGACGGCCAGCTCCTGTCACCCTCTCTCTTTCAGAGGACCCCTGACGGATTTGACTCGGTGCCACTGAAGACATCTTCGGGAGGCCCGGACATGGACCTGTGAGAGGCACTGCCCTGCCTCGCTGCCTCCTCCCTGTGGCCGTCACCTTGCAAGCCTGTGGCACTCGGGGCGGTAGCTTCCTGCAACACCCAGTGCTGGGCAGCTCTTCACTGTGGCCTTATCAGAAGAAGATTGAATTTCCGATCTTTGTGGTTTTATTTCAATATATATTTCTTTTTTTTTTTTTTTATGGAATACCAAACCTTCTTTCTGCTTGCCTCAGACCTGCCAAATATACCCATACTTTGTATGTATATGACTCCTGCACTAGTGGCTTGTGTCTCAAACGGCCCAGAGCAAATGCTGGAGCTGTGTTCCCTCATCACTGCGCTGGAGTGGAAATTCTCTACTCAAGCATCGACATCATTGCGCCTGCCTCTGGTTTTAAGGGCAGGGCCAGCTAGGAGTGTTCTTGGTCACGGGCCCTCAGCCCACCGTCTCTTTAGAGAGACGCTGGGGATGGAGGGCACTGGCATTCTCCAGTGGACCCTGGTAGCCTAGATTCAACTCTCCCTAGAGCCAGTTCAAACTTGGTGTGAACGCTAGCTAGGCTGAGAGCAAGGTAAGTGAGGCCTCGCCAAGGAATGGCTTGAAAAGGGGCATAAAGGAAAGGTCTTTTGTTGTTCTTACTTTGGTACTACATTATTCCCTTTTCATAAGTGATGCATATTTTCATTAGAAGACCGAATGGACAAATTTCAGGCCACAGAGGTAGTTGAGGGGGTAAGGGGCTTGCCGTGCATGTGGTTGACTGGTTCCATCTTCAGCACCACATCTGGTCCTCTATCACCACCAGGAATGACCCCTGAGCACAGAGCCAGGAGCCCTGATCACAGCTGGGTGTGGCCCCAAGACAACAAACAAAAGAACTAAAGGAGAAAATTCATCAAGATAGCATGCAGTGCGCACAGTGCCCAGGTGGAGCATGTGTCTTTAGTGGATTTGATCCTCAGAATCACAAAAACAAAGAGAAGGAAAAAAATGCCCCTAGTTCTGGCCTCTCAATTCTCACTTGACCCCTTTTTTTTTATTTGTTCTAAGGCCACACCCAGCTGTGCTCTGGGATTACTTCTGGCTCTTCACTTAAAAATTAGTCTAGGCAGTGCTCAGAGGACCACAGGGGATGCCAAGGATCAAACCCAGCCACATGCAAGGCAAACACCCTACCCACTGTACTATCTCTCCAACCCCTTGACCCCCTTTTTTTTTTTCAAACTCCCCATCATCTCCTGATGACGCTGAAGAGAGCCAGGTAAACCCCAAACCTGGATATTCTAATCTTATTCTGTTTGCTCTTACTCACAGAGATGACAAACACTGTCAGTAGGAAACATTCCCCCTCTTTGGGTCAGAGAGATAGTGCTGGAAGCAAAGCAGTAAGCTTCCATGTGGCCTACCCAGGTTCGATTCCCAGCACCACATGGTCCCTAAGTAATGATCAGAAGCACCACTGAACACAGAATTGGGAGCAGCTCAGGTCACTGCCGGGTGTGGCCTAAACCGGGACCCCCTGCCAAAAATGAAAGAATGGAAGAAAGAAGGAAGGAAGGAAGGAAGGAAGGAAGGAAGGAAGGAAGGAAGGAAGGAAGGAAGGAAGGAAGGAAATTCCTGATCCTGGGCGGGGAGCAATAGTACAGTGGGTAGGGTGCTTGCCTTGCACATGGCAGGCCCAGGCTCAATCCCTTTCACCACATGTGGTCCCCTGAGCACTTCCAGGAGTGATCACTGAGTGCAGATGTGGAAGTAAGCCCTGAACACCACTGAGTGTGTCCCAAAAACAAACAAACAAAAAGAAAATAAGAAAGAAAACCCACAGAGTAAAAAATGAATTTTGAACAGCTAGAGAAACTGAGGTAGGGTTGCTTATTCTAAACTTTCTGAGGACTGTGGTGATAACTGAAAAAGTTAGATTGTAGAGCCAGTGAGGTAGTGCAAAGATTAAGTCTGAGCCTGCAGCTGCAGCACGTATTCAGAACCTAGCACTATATAACGGTTCCCAGCGTTATATAGTGCTATACAGTTATATACTGCCAGGATTGTCCCCTGAGCACCACTGGGCATGACCCCCCCAAACCGAAAAGAATACTGCATGCTTTGCAAAGGCCCTGGGTCCTCCTCCACCAACATTGTGGTCCCAATGGCTCCTGAGCATTCCTAGGTGGTCCCTGGAGACCCCCAGCACTGCTGGGTCTGCGCAGCACCAAACTGCAGGACGTGAGCTGTGGGATCAAGAATTCCCAGAATGGACCCTGTCTAAACTGTGCTTGGGAACCACCCCCCCCAAAAAAAATCAACTCTGGATGATATGAGACGTTCAAGGAGAATTTGGAACCATGTCAGTGCTAAAGTTAACCTGTATTAAAAAAAATGCAATTACCATAGGGCACAGTGTGGTAGGAGAATTGACAACTCATTCAACCCCTCACCCCCAAATCCTGACAGCTTTTCCTGACCTGTGTGGGGTTTTTTTTGGGGGGTCACACCTGGTGATGCACAGGGGTTACTCCTAGCTCTGCACTCAGGAATTACTCCTGGCGGTGCTCAAGGGACCATATGGGATGCTGGAGATCAAACCCGGGTTGGCTGCATGCAAGGCGAACGCCCTACCCGCTGTGCTACTGCTCCAGCCCCTGACCTGTGTTATTTTTAAGGGTTCATTGTTAAAGGGAACATGAGATTACTTTCTTATTGTGTTTCACTGATAAAAGGGAGCAGGAAGCCAAGAACTAAAGATTAAGTTGTCAGATTCACCTGAAATTGCATGATCAAATGGCTGTGGGAACCTGAACAGGTACGAAACCAGTGGGGGAGGGGTCGTGTGTAAGAGGGTGTTATGGAAGATTTCAGTCAAGGAAAAAGGAACTACCCAAATTAAAGTAACAGGGGAGGGGAAAGGAGTATCTAGGACAGAGAAATGTGAGGCAGAACTAACTCAGGAAGTGCTCAGTCAGGCCAGCGGTCCTCAGATCCTGATCTGGGAGCTAGGTTCATTTGTTCTGCACAGGAAAGAACTCAAGGACAAGTCAGAATCTGTTTTTTATTTAACTTTATTTATTTATTTTATTGCTTTTGGGGTCACACCTGGGGATGCACAGGGGTTACTCCTGGCTTTGCACTCAGGAATTACCTCTGGCGGTGCTCAGGGGACCATATGGGATGCTGGGACTCGAACCTGGGTTGGTCACATGCAAGGCAAACGCCCTACCCACTGTGCTATCACTTCAGCCCCCAGAATCTTTTTTTTAAATAGAAAAAAAAAATACTAAGGACTAAAAGTGATCGTGTGCACTCTAAGTGTCAGAATGTAGCATACTCCAGAGAGCACAGTGTCATTTCTTACAACTATCATGTTTATATAAGTATAGGAATAGGGCTAATAATTAGGGATGGAATATTCATGTTTTAGGGAAGAATGAGGACTCTGGAATGTGTAACCCAGATTCTGATTATACTTGGTTACTCCGGGAGGTTACCTGAAAAATAGCACAGGAGGGTGTGGTTTTTATGTATGCAAATTATAAATTATTTTATAATTTATATAATAATATAATATTATACAAATTATATAATATATATTATAAATGGATTTGTTTGATCAAGCACCTGGTCCTTCACCTCAAATTCCCTTGGTTCCAACCAGTATAACACAAGTCTTGGTCTTCATTGTTCTCACCTCTTTGGGTCATACCTCTTCCATGTAAAGTCTGTGCTCTGGCTGTGTTAATCTACCTGGCCCAACATGAAAACTTTTTTTTTTTTACTTTTATTTTCCCCTTACACCTTATACAAACATTATAGTTTACAAAGTTCTTCATGTTACACATATTCAATATTCCAGCACAGCATGAGAACTTTAAAGGGGAAATGTTGGGTAAGATAATAAGAGTAGTGGTGAAAACTTCTAAGGGCCTTTGGAGAGGCCAGAACTTTAAGGTCACCCTTCCAGTTATACTGGGGAGTTACTTAAAGGATCAGCCCAGTGGCCTCCTCCCCTAAGCCTAGCCCCAGTACAGACTCAGGAACATCCATCACTGTTTTGAAACAGTAGACAGTCCCCTAGGGCAGTGCCTTCATTGTTACAGAAGTGGTAGTCCCCTTAGAAGGGTTCAGAGCCTTAGAAGGTTCCAGAAACCCAGGCTTCCTGCATGTTTTCTTCCCTATATTCTTTCCCACAATTTCATACCTCACTTGCTCTGCAAGATGAATCAGGAAGGGGAGCAAACCCAAACAAACCCGCTTTCCTCCCTCTGATCTCAGCTGGTCAGCTTCATCATTGTCACTGGCTCTGTTCTCATCCCAGAGCTGGCTGCAGAAGCCGGCAGCCAGGCATGGGGAGAAACAGCAGCGCCTCATCACAGCAGGTCATGCACGTGGTGTAAAAAACACAAAGCACAGTAGCTTTGAGGCTGGGAGGAACACAACACCCAACCCTCCAGACCATCTCTTGTTCTCAAGAAGATCATTCCATCGCTTTGGTTCCCAACAGAAACTAGTGTGTTTCACTGTAAAAGGACGATTTTAAAAGTAAAGATCATGAAATCTTCAAAAAGATTCAAGATAAATCTTGAAGGGCTCAAAAAGATCCAAGATAAGGCCTCAGTAGCTTGCACTGCCTTCAAATCTGCTAGAAATTTGCAGATTTGGAGACTTGGAAAAGTCTCATGTCTCTTTCAAAGATTTCAGGACTAGGGAGGACCAGACAGATGGTTCAGGAGTTAAGGTGCTTGCCTTGCATCCTTCCCACCCAGGTTCAATCCTCTGCACCTCATATGCCACACCACCACCCCCCAGCACTACTAGGAGCGATCCCTGAGCACAGAACCAGGAGTATGCCACAAAATACACCCGTAAAATATATAGCCATCCTCTTGTCTCAAGATTTCTATCAACGTTTTAAGACAGAAACTGGCGTCCACTGGAGGTACAAGCTCTAGCCTAAACAGCATTGACAGGTTCTGCCTAACCTGAGATAGGCTCTTAAGCATCCGAGGCACTCACTTCCAGGGGGCAGGCAGCACTCCTACGGGGAGCGTAGGAGGAGCCCTCGGAGAGGCCACGCCCACCAGCCCCGCCCTCCGCTCTAGCTCCGCCCCCTGCACGGAGGCTTCCGGCCGGGAGGGGGCGCCCGCTGCGACTGCGCGAGGAGGGTGGGTCAGCGCGCCTGCGCAGTGCGTGGTGCCCGGCTGCGGCGCTCGACCCTCGGTTTCCCTTCGCTTTGGCCTGTGCGCGCGGGGAAGATGGTGCTGGATCTGGATCTGTTCCGGGTGGATAAAGGAGGGGACCCAGCCCTCATCCGAGAAACGCAGGAGAAGCGCTTCAAGGACCCGGGGCTCGTGGATCAGCTGGTGAAGGCGGACGGCGAGTGGCGGCGATGTGAGTACTCGGACGCGCGGGGAGAGGGGGGAATCTCAGGCGGGGTCTCGCGCCCGCGCCGGGGGCTACGGCGCCCGCCCCGGGGCCCAGCTCCCGGGCGGCGCCGCCGAGCAGCCGCCCCGTCCCGCGCCGGCTCTCCCCGGCCACGCGCGCGCCGTCCACGCCCGCTGGCCGCCGGCCGCCGGGAGGAGGCTGTGCGCATGCGCGCCGCAGCTGTCAAGCCTCGGGGCCCCCGGGAGCCGGAAGCCAGCCCGGAGCCCCAGCTCGGAGCGCCGGCGGGGTGGTCTCTTTTGAGTTTAATCCTCTCCCTCGGCAGGGCCGGAGTGGGCTCCCTGCTCATTTGATCCGCGCGAGGCTCCAGCCTGAGCCTGAGTCACCTCCGCAGCGCCTGGCCCGGCTCCACCCCGTCTTGCCGTCCTTCGGGGACCGGGGAGAGGCCGCTCCCGCTCCCGGCCGAAATGCAGGGAGCCCGGAGCTTTGGTGAAGCCCGTCCCGCTCCGAGCTCCGGGCAGGCCCTCTGGGGTCGAGGAAGGGCTGTCCGAGGTAGATCGCATAGCGGGCAGAGGAGGAGGGAGAGGCCAGAAAAGGCTCGCGCTCATCAAGGTTGTTTGAAACACACTGGCGCGCTGAGACTTAATCCCAGCACTGAGCCCGCCGCTCGGAACAGCCCCGGGTGGGCAGGACGCTGTCAAGCACATGTGACTCGTTTTGTCTGATGCAATAGTGCGCAACTCGCGGAGAGCTGGCTTTAGGCCCGCGCCCTGCAAAGGCGTCTGCTCTCCCAGAATCAGGTGGGTTTCCGGGAGGACGGTTGTTTTCCCTCGATGTACACAATGGACTCCGTGCCTGCTGATTCTCAGTCCTTCAGATGGAGATGGTGGGATCCCGCTGCCCAAATCAAAACTTGAAGATTTGAATTCTAGCAGATTAAGTGGGGAAGGGAAAAGTGGAACTGGACACCTTTCTTTATGGAATTGAAAGTATCCTTTTTTTTTTTTAAATTGAGCCATTGTTGTTCAACTGCAGAATGACTTTGACTAAAAATCTGAGTCCCACAGTACTTTATGTTCATCTGTATGGTTTGTGTACGCTTTGACAAACACACAGACAACTCCAGGACCAACCACTACACCTAGGCCTGAGCAAGGGTTGGACAAAGATTTATTGAGAGGTGGAGAGATGGTACAGCTGGTAAGGCACTTGCTTTGCATTTGCTCAGCCAGATCCCTGGCATTCCATATGACCCCCCCGAGCAGATTCAGAAGTAACCCCCGAACATTGCTGGGCGTGACCCCAAAACAAAACAAAAGTTTTGTTGAATTTCTAGGGCACAGTGGTCTTCTGGATGAAAAATTCATGTATCTTATTTTCAACATACCTCTTGATTTGGTTCTACCCGACATCCCTTCTTGGTGGCCAAAGGAGTGCCTAGCTTTTCCGAAAATCACATTGACAGATGTATCAAGATTTTTTGTACATTCAAACCTCAGGTGAAAGGTTAGGGTCTTTCGTCAAGCTGCTACAAGGATTTATAATCCAGAACCCATCCTGGTTCCCAGCTGTGCACACAGCCTCAGTTGTAATTCTCAGTTAATATCCTTGATAGAGTCTGGAAACCAACTTTTTGTTTTGTTTTGTTTTGTTTTGTTTGGGCCATACCCAGCTGTGCTCAGGGGAGCATATGGGGTGCCAGGGATCAAACCCAGGTCAGACACTTTTGTAAGGCAAGTACCCTATCTGCTGTACTATTACTCCATCCTCTAGAAACTGCAGCTTTAAGTGAAACAACATAGGCAAACCCAGTTGGTTATAGGCTGACTGATAGAAGCAAGAGTTGAGTTCCTAAGACATAGTTCTGGTCATAGAAACATCACCAAGCTTGTACTTAAAGTGCTAAAACACTAAAAATATCAGTTATTCACTTATCCATTTTCCAAACTGCTTTTTCTAATTTAGGGGTATGGGTGGCCAGAGTTTATCTTAGAAGCTCGGGAATTATAAGTTGGGGTCCCAGCCCTAGACAGGATGCCCCTCTGTATTTATTCAGTGGTGTGTGTGTGTGTGTGTGTGTGTGTGTGTGTGTGTGTGTGTGTGTGTTGGGGGGGGGGCTGCTGGAGATTGAACAGGACCTCACAGAGACAAGGCTTGATACTTAAGCTCCATTCCTGCCCAAATTCATTCATACCAGAACCTTTCAGACACACCAGCATGTGCATCTTTGGGCTGTGGGAGAGAACAGGAGCTCCCAGAGAAAATCCTCACAGACACAGGAAGAACAGGCATGTTCCACACCAACAGTGATTTGGGCCTCAAGTCAAGTCTTCCTTCCTCATCAACACACAGTGAGAACACGCTGAACACAGTGACCGATGTGAGGGCCCGCTCTCTACACTGCCTGCCGTTCTGTCCCGCCTCCGTTCTCTTTGAATCTGGCCAGGCCTTGTGCCGTCACAGACTCTCTCATACTGTTCCTGTCTCTTCACTTTGCCAGGACTTAGTGGGGAGGGTTTGGGCCAAACCAGCAGTGTTCAGAGACCGTTCCTAGCTCGGTATTCAGGAGTGACCCCAGGTGGTGCTTGGGGTTCCGGGGACTTGGTGCTAGAGATTAACCAGGAGTGGGCTTCACGGAAGGCAGGCATCAATCCATCTGCTTTCTCTCCTGCCCAGTTCTTTCCTTGAAGTTAACTTTCAGGGTGCTGCCCCCGTCTGCCCGCTTTGCCACCCAGGTCTTTTCTCCGTATCACTCCCTCATTTGGTGAGTGTTCTTCATGCGGATATTAACTTAGGTAGCTCTATTGTGGCATTTAATGCTACATTCTGTTTGTGTTTTGTTCTTCTACCATACCTAGAGATGCTCAGGAGTTACTTTTGGTTCTGCACTCAGGAATCACTCTTGGCAAGCTCGGGGACCATATGGGATGCTGGGGATCAAAGCTGGGTCGGCTGTGTGCAAAGCAGGCATCTTACCTGCTGTGCTATCTCTCCAGCCCCTTAATGCTACTTTTAGATAAACTTTTAAAATGCGGGAAAAAAAATTCAGATGTCATGATGTAATATATATTCAACGCACTTTGGGGGTTGGGCTGGTTCGGGCAGTGCTGGAGATTCAGTAATCCGGAGTCTCACAGTGCATGGCAGGGGCTGGCCCCTGAGCTGCATCCCTGGCCCCAAAGAACGTACTTTTTTTTTTCCCTTTTCGGGTCATACCTGGCGATGCTCAGGGATCACTCCTGGCAGTGCTCAGGGGACAATATGGGATGTTGGGAATTGAACCCGGGTTGGCCACGTGCAAGGCAAACGCCCTACCCGCTGTGCTATCACTCCAGCCCCCAGGACGAACATCTTCATGTACAAGCTGGGTATGGGGTTGGGCTATGTGGTGTGTGGGGGGGATTGAACTTGGCCACGAGCATGACAGGTGCATGTTAGTGATGGAGAGCTACAATTCAGGGAACTTTGCAGATCTGTTTGCCCATCCAACCGCCACCCAAATCAAGATATCAGACCTTAGGGCAAGTTCTCAGAGTCTCAGCAATTCCACGGGTTCCCTTTTGTTCTTAGCACCCATGTTACCCCCCCCCTCCAGCTCCACTACCCCCACCAAGAGAACAGTCTTATTTCTCACCATAAATTACTTTCATCTGGTTTTGAGTTTCAAAGAAGTGAACTTTTAAAAGATACAGTATTTTGGGCCAGAGCGATCCTATGGGTAAGGCTCTTGCCTCGCACACAGACAACTTGCAGTCTATCCCCATCATCCATATACTGCTGCTGCCAGAATAAGTCCGGAGCACTGCTGGCTGTGAGCCCAAAACAAAACAAACAAACAAACAAATAGATATACCATTTTATGTGTTTTCTTTCCCTCATATGGATGTGTATGAAGATTCTTCATGTTGCTGTGTTTAGCAGTGGGGTTTTTTTTTCCCCACAACTGCCTGGGGTCCCAATACAGAACTCTACCCACCAAGCCTGCTGATGGACGTTGCCTTGAAACCTGTCTCAGGGTGCATGAATGGTGCTTTTTGTGTACCTCCAAAATGAATGGAAAGGGGCTGGATCGGCAGTGCAGAGGAAGCATCTTACCTGCTGTGCTATCTCTCCGGCCCCTTAATGCTACTTTTAGATAAACTTTTAAAATGCGGGAAAAAAATTCAGATGTCATAATGTAATATATATTCAACGCACTTTGTGCAGAGAGGGCTGAGTGCCTGCTCTGTCTGCAGGAGACCCAGGTTCCATCCCCTGCCCTGGACAGCGTGGCTGGGAGTGACCCCTGAGCACAGAGCCAGGAGAAGCCCCGCAGTACCACTAAGCATGGTCCTAAAACAAAAAATAATAAAATACATGACTGAAACCTAGAAAAATCGTTCTACACAATAATCAGGATGTTGTTTGTTTTCTTTTATATTCTGAAAATGTAGCACTTAAGAACAATTTAAAAGCATCGGATACCTCGAGATGTCGTTAATCAATAATATGTAAGATCCCTAACTGAAAAATCCAAACATTACTGGAAGAAATGAAAGATAACAAAGACATAGACTATTTCCATGAAAACATTCAGCATAGTTGAGAGTAGTTTTAAATTTATATTTTGTTTGGGGCCAGAGAGATAGTACAGTGGGTAGGGCGCTTACCTTGCGTGTGGCCAACCCCAGCATACACCCACACACACAAGAAATAGGCATTGTCACTTATATTTGTGCTTTTCTTTCTTTTTTTGGGGGGGGGGGTTCACATCCAGTGATGCTCAGGAATTACTCCTGGCTCTGTACTCAGGAATTATTCCTGGAGTTGCTCAGGGGACCATATGGAATACTGGGAATTGAATTCAGATTGACTGCGTGCAAGGAAAACACCCTTTCCACTGTACTATTGCCCCAGCCCCATTTTTGAACTTTTTCATTTGAAAACAGACTTACAAGAGTTCTGCGTACCCTTCAGGCAGATCCATTTTCCCAAGTGACAATGTGTAACATAACTAGTACAGTAGCAAGACTAAGAAATCAACTTTGCTACAATCTGTAAACCTTATTCAGATTCCCCAGTTGTGTGTGTGAGTGTGTGTGTGTGTGTGTTTGTGTGTGTGTGATTTTGTTGTGAGAATTTACACTGGGCCAGGTATATGAGGTTGGGGCGGGATGGGAGACATGTAGTGCCAGGGATTGAGCCCAGGATTTAGTACATGCTGCATACATGCTCTACCGCTTGGTCCATATCCCCGGCCTCAGTTCTGTGTGACTTGTGTAACCACTGTCATATGCAAGACACAGAAATCATTGCATTACCCAGAGATCCCCTCCTGCTTCTCTTTGTAATTCACTCTCCTCCCTCTCCCTCTCCCCCGTGGCCCCTGGCAGCCTGATTACCAATTGTGTGTTCCATCTCTGTCATCAATGTGAATGTGTGAATGAGAGTGTAGTATGTGTGAGTGAGCATGCCTGCACACACATGCACTGAAGTTTAGCTTATTCCTTTTGATGGGGGAGACATCACCTAAGCAGTGCTCACAGTATTCTGTAGCTACTCTCTTAGAAATACTTGGCCAACCAGGCCACATAGCCTGGGCCCCATCACACAGTGCTATTCAGGCCCAGAGGTTTTGGGAATACCAGGTCCACTCAAGCACTGTGGTTTGTTTATGTATGTGTGTGTGCGTGGGGGGGGCGGAACACATGCAGTGTTGGGGTCAGACTCGGGCCGCTATGCCTGCCAGGCCTACACCCTACCCCTGCAGCTGTCTCCCTGGCTCTGGAACTTTTAATTTAGTTTATAGTTGTCAAATCTGTAAATAGTTGTCAAAACTAGAATAACTATGTCTAGATAGTAATTTTTAGCTTTCTTTTACCCTGTGGAAAGTCCTACCAATGCACCAATGTGTTCAAGTTGGACACAAGCTGTAGGCTGATCAGTGCTGCCTTCTCTAAAGAAAACCAATGTTTAAGAAGCGAAATTGTTCTTGAGGGGCTGGAGAAGGAGTACACTATGTCAGGTAAGCTTACCTTGCACATGGCTGACCTGGGTTCAATCCTGGCATCCCATATGGTCCCCTGAGCCCACCAGGAATAATGTTTGAGTGCTGAGCCAGGAGTAAACCCTGAGCATCTCTGGGTATGGCCCAAAACCCAAAAAGGAAGAAAGAAACAAAATCGTTTTTGAGATTGCCAGATGAGCATAGCGTCAGCCCAGAGAACGTCAGTCATTTCTAGCACAGAGATGAATGAGTAAGTTCAGGGAACCGAGCTACCATCTTGGCCACGAGCAGTAGTACATGAAGTAGAGTTCTTGCCTAGCATACAGCTGATCCAGGTTTGATTCCAACCATCCTATAAGGTCCTCTGAGCCCCACCAGGAGTGATTCCTGAGTGTAGAGCCAGGGGTGAGTCCAGAGTATCACCAGGTGTGACCCCAAACCAACAACAACTAAAAAGAAGCGGCCTTTCTAGAACTCAGTTTGTACCCCAAAATTTCTTTGAAGAATCAAGAGACTCAGCAGGATCCATTTGCTTGAATCACTCAAGTCCCTGCAGCCGTAGCTCCAGTTTCAGGGCTTCTGCATTTCCACCATAGAATGATCTTCTCCTTGTCAGCAAATGCTAGGGAACTCTGGTCACCACCAGTGTTTGCAGCGGAACTTGGGGTCCTAAAGCTCCCAGAGTCCTCACGTCCTTCTGGCTGGTCCTCGAGCTACCTGCATCTTGGCAGGGCCCGGGGGTTGTTCCTTCGGGGTGTATCAGGAAGTGGAGGTACTGTTGTTATGTGCTTACCTTTGGTATATTCTTGGATCTTCATTCTCCAGGCAGATTTCGGGCAGACAACTTGAACAAGCTGAAGAATCTCTGCAGCAAGACAATCGGTGAGAAAATGAAGGTAAGAGAAGCAAGGGGCAGTCTGGAGAGCCTGAGCAAAGCAGAAGGGTGATGGCACCCGCCCACTGTCCCAGCTCTCCAGCCCCAGGTTACATCCCTTAAAGAGTCATGTCGGAAGAGCCAGATACCAATTTGATGCACACTCATTAATCTGTCAGGGGCCTGAGAGAGCACAGTGGCGAGGGCACTTGCCTTGCATGTTGCAAACCCAGGTTCGATCCCCGGCATCCCACATGGTCCCCGAGTCCTCCACAAGTAACCCCTGAGCACAGAGCCAGGTGTAAGCCCTGAGTAATCCCAGTGTACCTCCACTGCCCATACCCCCCCCCCAAAAAAAGATAAAGATAAAAGATAAAGGCCCTCCCGTTGATCGTCGATTTGCTCGAGCGGGCCCAGTAACGTCTCCATTGGAGACTTTGTTGTTACTGTGTTTGGCATATTGAATACTCTCGGTAGCTTGCCGGGCTCTCCGAGAGGGGCGGAGGAATCGAACTCGGGTCGGCCATGTTGGCCGCTTGTAAGGCCAACGCCCTACCCGCTGTGCTATCGCTCCAGCCCCCCCCCCAAAAAAAGAAAGAATTTTTCTTTTATTTAGTAATAGATTTACTTTTTACTTTTTTTTTTTTTTTTTGGCAGGGGTGGGGGGAGCGCTATTCATGACTCTGTCCCCGGGGTTGCAGTGCTGGGGACTGGACCCCACATGTGAGCCCTCACCCTTTCTGATAATGAATTTTTATTCCCTGCAGAAAAAAGAGCCGCTGGGCGATGACGAGTCTGTTCCAGAGAACGCAGCAAACCTTGATGACCTCACCGCAGACACGCTGGCCGTGAGTCACCGTGGCCCGGCTCGGGGTTGCTGCTCGTTCGAGGCCGCTCGCCCCCTGCAGTGCTACAGCACCCTCGGGTTTCTCTAGCTGGGACACAGCTCCTTGGCTCTGACAGTGTCCCCTGGCAGTATCAGCAGCAGCAGCGGAGTCAAATGGAGGGGGGAGTCCAGGGTGGGAGGAGAGAGCGGGCAGGCTTTCCTTCGCAGAACTTGATCTTCACAGTCTAGATGTTTTCCGTGTATCAGGAGCTGGTTAGCGTTGATGACCACGGGCCACTAATAGCCATCTTCAGATTTTTTAGGCACCAGTCCTTAATCTTAAAACCCCAAACACAGGAGTAAGGGGTGGTGGGAAGGAAAGTGGGGACCCTGGCACTGGGGAATAAGCAGCGTGGGTGGAGGGAGGGGTGTTGGAACACTGACTGACACCTAACCCGGCGCAGCTTTGTAAGGGTCTATCTCAGGGATTCAAGAAATAATAAATAAATGAACCCAAATATAGGGCCTGAGCGATAGTATAGTGAGTAGGCCACTTGCCTTGCATGTGGCCAACCTGGTTTGATCCCTAGCACCACAGATGCCCCTCCCGTCCCCCCCAAGGACCGCCAGTAGTGATCCCTGAGCACAGAGCCTGGAGTAAGCCCTGAGCACAGCTGGGTGTAACGCCAAACCAAAACACCCTTAATACAAGAACATAAGCAAAGCAAGAACTAAAGACAGGGAGGCAGAGTGGCTGTGCTGGAAGGGACGCATGAGAAATTCAAGTTTGCGGGGCTGGAGTGATAGTACAGCAGGCAGGGCATTTGCCTTGCACGCTGCTAACCCGGGTTCAACTCCCAGCATTCCATATGGTCCCCGAGCACCGCCAACAGTAATTCCTAAGTGCATGAGCCAGAAGTAACACCTGTGCATCGCTAGATGTGACCCAGAAAGAAAAGAGAGAGAGAGAGAGAAATTCAAGTTTGCTGTAACGGTTCAGTTGAATGGCCCAGACTCCCCTTTTTCCTGTGAGCAGCATCACTCATCTGCCCCCCCCATCTGCCCCCCCCCCCATACCCACTCCAGTGTCCAGCTTTCTAAGTCCTGTTCCCCACATCCGAACACGGGGCCTGGTCTTGTCCCTGTGCCCCCTCCACCTGGAGATCCCTTTCCTAGTCTGGAGTCCTGCCACCGAGTCTCCTAGGACTAGCCCCGTGGCTCCCTGTCACTGGCTGTGCTCAGTGTCCAGCCACAGCCACATGTGTGTGGGTGACATCCAGGGTTCTGTGCCTGTTTTCTCTCCGCACTAAGAGCCTACCTGGTTCCTTTGTCTGCCTGGACGTAGGTGAGCGGATGAAAAGAGTGCCCGGCTGGGGGCTTCCTTTTATCTGTGGCATCTCCCACTCCCAACCACCCCATCATCTGTTTTGATTGGATTTTTTTCATTGGCTATTTTCAGTGGGCGAGATAGATTTAAAGTGATCGATTGATTAACTCGCTCCCGGGTGCCTCCACCTCCACCCTCCCGCAGTATGATCGGGACCATTTGGAACACCTGCAGGAAGGGGTAAAATAAGCCAGAGCTGAGGTCTCTGGCTCCTAATGAGTTTATATCTTTCTAGCGAGAACCATTTAAATGCAGAACATAATCAAGTGCCAAATTGGTTTAATCAGGAGAATGAGACAGCACCCAATCAGGGCAGCCGCAGTATTCCCATTCTGGAGGAAGATGGGAGCACCGGAGGGGTCTGAGTTTCCCCTTCTCTGCCTTGGATACCCCAGGGAAGGAAAGCAGCGGGTTGGGCTGCTGGGGGCCACGGGAGTCAGTCTCTGCCCTTGGGAAGCTTTGGCTCTGCAGGGCCCCAGGGAGTCAGGGCAGGGGCTGCAGAACCGTCTTCCTGCTGGCCAACACTCACTGTTCCCGTGTGCTGGCCGCAGGACCTGCAAGTCTCCCAGATCAAGAAGGTCCGGCTCCTCATCGACGAGGCCATCCTGAAGTGTGATGCTGAACGCACCCGCCTGGAAGCCGAGCGGTTTGAGAACCTCCGAGAGATCGGGAACCTTCTGCATCCTTCGGTGCCCATCAGCAATGATGAGGTAGGCGCCTGCCTCCTGCCCCTTCCCTTCACACACCCACACCCCAGGCCGGAGGGACACTGGCCCTCTCCATGTCATGGCGCGCGCACACACACACACACACACAAACACACCCCAGGCCTGAGGGACACTGGCCCTCTCCGACACACATACACACACACACACACACACACACACACACACACTCCGGCACTGGCCCTCTCCGAGACACACACACACACACACACACACACACTCACGCGAGCCTGAGGGACACTGGCCTTCTCTGTGTTATGGTGTTATGCGCGCGCACACACACACACACACACACACACACACACACACCAGGCCTCAGGGACACTGGCCCTCTCCCTGTCATGGCACCTGGAACCCTGCCAGTTCTTTGTGCGTTTCCTCTGCCGGCGGGTGGGTATGGAAGGAGTCAGACACCGCAGACAGGAGACCCCAGCACAGAGCTGGGGTCTAAATCAGGCCTGGCCATCCTCCGAGTGGGTTGCCCTGGGCAGCAGGGAGGGATCTGCTCACCCCTCACCCACCCCCTGCTGGGGAGCTGCAGGTTGGAGGCGAATCTGCATGATAAAAGTTTCCTGCGGGGAGGCAGCTTCCCCAGCACAAAGCTGCTCTGAGCCCGGCCTTTGTTCCCTGACACCCCAGCCGCGGCCAGGCCCATCTGTGCCTCTTTCTTTCAGTCCCTGGTGAACGTGAAACTCCCTGGCGGGGGTGGCCGACCCTGGAGGTCAGGGCCCAGAGCCCGCCCTCCCGGGGCCCCGACCAATAAGAACCCAGGGGGGAAAATCTCCATTCTCCTAGGCGCCTGCCCCAGACTTGCGGATTGTCTGTGGTTATCCTGGGGCAGGGTTTCCCAGGAATTCTTTAAAAGGGTAAACTCTGGGGGTGGAGAATCCCTCTGGTCCCCAGGCAAATCCTGGCCTCAGTTCCTAGGGTACAGTCACTTGTCGGGCTCAGCAAGCATTATTTCCTGATCCGGCACCAATTCTCTGGCCAGTGCCCGTAGCTGCCACGCAGAGGGCCTGAGTTAGGCACGGGCTCGCCTGAGTTCTGGGGGGTCCTTAGGGTTGGGGTGTGGCCATGAGTGTGTCTTTCTCTCCTGCTCTGTTTTCCTTAGGACGCAGACAACAAAGTCGAGAGGGTCTGGGGTGACTGTACAGTCAGGAAGAAGTACTCGCACGTGGACCTGGTGGTGATGGTGGACGGCTTTGAGGGCGAGAAGGGCGCCGTGGTGGCCGGGAGCCGCGGGTACTTCCTGAAGGTGGGCACTGGGCCCCCTGGGGGGGGGGGCGGGCGGTGGCCCTGCCACCAGAAGCTGCTCCAGGGAGGCCCCCGAATGCGCCACTGGCACCCCCAGCCCCCACTTCCCCTGTGTATGTTCTGGCAATTTCACGCAGCTCTCTGAGGCAGGAGCACGTATAGCAGGGTCCCGGGGCAAACGCTGTTGTGTAACCTAGAACGAACAAGTTTTACCAACTGAATCAAGGCCTCTCTGCTTCTAAAGGTGCTCAGGATAATTGGGTAGTCAGACAGAAAAGTCATGGAGCCTGAGCCCACGGAGGGCCAGTAGCCCTGACCACTGGGAGAGTGACAGGCAGAGACGACAAACCCACATCACCTGGGGCAGGCAGCAGGTGAAATCAGGGGTGGCTTCCAGGAAGCCGTGGTCAAGTAATTTTGTGTGTCATGTGTATATGTCCTAGAGAAAGGCGAGCCCTGCAGACACGGGGGCGGGGGAGGCCTGGAGGTGGCCTCAGTGGTAGTACACCTGCCTCTGCAAGGCCCCGAGTTCTACCCCTGGCATCTCACGTTCTGTGGGGCGTGGCCAGGTCTGAGCATGACTGGGGTGCCGCCATGGAGAGAGGGGCCGTCCGCTGCAGCCACCCCGTGCCTTCCTCTCCTCCCAGGGCGTCCTGGTGTTCCTGGAACAGGCTCTCATCCAGTATGCTCTTCGCACCCTGGGCAGCCGGGGCTACACCCCCATCTACACCCCGTTCTTCATGAGGAAGGAGGTCATGCAGGAGGTGGCGCAGCTCAGTCAGTTTGATGAAGAACTGTACAAGGTGAGTAGACCCGGGTGTGGACTGTGACCCAGCCGCTCCACTTCCAGGCACGGCCGAGGAGTCCGTCGGTTCTGTTTGAACGGGCTCCGGCATGAGGGTAGCAGCTCAGGGAGGGCTGGGTGTCGGCTCTTCATCCCCTGCTCCCCCAGCACAGCCAGGAGTGACCCCACCCCCCCAAGCTCCAGGCTTGGACTATCTCTTAGCACTGCCAAGTGTGGCCCTGAAACAAAAGCCGGACACATGTGATTAATGGCTACCCGATGGGACAAAACAGACTCGGAGGGCGCTTAATTTTCACGTCCAAACGCGTCTTTATTTTCACATCCAAATGAGGGTGCTTCCAACACAGCCTTCAGCCTCCATAGGGAGCTCTCCTCCCTCCCCCCTCCCTTCTTCCCCCCTCCCCTTCCTTCTTTCCCCCTCCCCCTCTCTCTCTTTTCCTTTTATTTCCTTTTCTTCCTAGTTTCTGTTCTCCTGAACTTCATCCTTCACGGTTTTGACTCCAAGACCTTCAGCATAAATGTCCACCATCAACTGGCATCTCCATCTTGATGTCTCTGTAGATCTTTGGTTTCCAGCACAGAGAGAAACTGAACGGGGAAAGGCAGAGGGAGGTGTGGGGGGAGATCAGCTGTTGCTGGGGGCTGGGATGCTGCTCAGTTCTCTCGGGAGGTGCTCAGGTGCCGAGCCATGGTGAGCAGAGGGCTCGATTGGAAGTGAAGAATCTCTTCAGTAAACAGACTCTGAACTCAAAAAAGAGGCACGTTTGGGGCCAGAGACATAGGATGACAGGCAGGACACCCGCCTTGCTGACTCAGGCTCTGTCCCCAGCATCTCATATGCTCCTCTGAGCCCTACCATGAATGATGTTCGAGCACAGAGCCAGGAGTAAGTCCTGAGCACAGCCGGGTATAGCCCAAAAAACAATGATGTAACACTTCTCTAAAGTCAGCAAGTATTTAACTTAGAGCCTGCCTGCCTTCCTGTCTTCCTTCCTTCTTTCTTCCCTTCCTTCCTCCCTTCCTCCCTCCCTCCCTCTTTCCTTCCTCTCTTTCCTTCATTCCTCTCTTCTCTTTTCTTCTTTCTGTCACACCCAGCAGTGCTCTGGGCTTACTGCTGACTCTGCGTTCGGGGATCACTCCTGGCAGGCTTGGGGGACCATATGGGATGCTGGGACCGAGTCAACCAAGTGCGAGGCAAACTCCTACCCACTAAACTATCTCCCGCTGTGTTACTACTCCCTGCCCCACACTCTTTCCTTTAAGGAGACGAATCTGTTCCGGTCTCCCCTGAGAACTCTTTTGTCTTTTCCTTGTGTTGCTCACTTAAAGAGTAAGCTGGTGGGCGCTCTGCAGGTAACCCTGGTAGAAGCTTAGATTGAAGATCAGGAGCAGCCTTTGGCAGTATGTACCCTGCATTTCTTGCCTCTTCCAGATGCTTCTTGGATCCACAGGCAGGGAGAGTCACTTGTCTAATTGGTGCGGGATCTGCCCAGCACTCCTGCAGACTTTAGTTTGTTCATTCTGAAGAGCAGTGTGTTTTTTTTTTCCATAGTTATATAAATATAAAAATCGACAGAGCCTGGCAAGCTCCCGTGGTGCATTTGATATGCCAAAAACAGTACCAATGATGTGTCTCATTCCCCTGACCCTGAAAGAGCCTCCAATGCGGCACCGTTGGGAAGGACGAGTAAGGAGAGGCTGCTAAAATCTCAGGGCTAGGACGAATGCAGAAGTTCCTTGTGTCCGCTCGAGCAAGTCAATGAATAGCGGGATGACAGTGATACAGCGAAGAGCAGAGTTGCCCTGTAGAACTTCTGCAGTGATGGAAAGGTTCTCCCGGAGCTACCCAAGATGGGCAGCCCCTGACCTTGTGGCTGGTGCAAGTCAAGGAACTAAGTTTTCATTTGTTAAAAATTAGTATCATTTGTTGCTGGAGATCTCAGCCCCGGGACCCGTATGCCTTTGTTTCTCTGCCTGTACCTTCATGCGTGTGGAGAATGGTCTCAGCATGGTGGTGGCTGGTTCTGGAGGTCTTTGGCTGCCGGAGCCCTGGTCGGGACGGGGAGGGAAACTCAACCCGCTCCCCTCCAAGGGGCCCCGGCGAGGACATCCAGGCACGGGGGCAGGAGACTCTTATTATCTCATTCCTACTTTGGACAAACTGGCAGGCTACCGAATGTAACCTGCCCACATGGCAGAGTCTGGCAAACTCCCCGTGGCGTACCCAATATGCCAAATACCAGTAACAATGATGGGTCTCATTCTCCTAACCCTGAAAGAGTCTTGAATATGGCACTTTTTTAAAAATCTCAGGGCTAGGACGAAGGAGACCTTACTGGTGCCTGCTCGAGGCAATCGACGAACAACAGGATGGTCGCTGTGATCATGGTCGCTGTGATCGTTGCTGGAGAGATAGTACAGTGGGGAGGGTGATCACATTGCACACGGCTAACCCGGGTTCAATCCCTGACATCCCCCCAGCACCACCAAGAGTAATTCCTGAGCACAGAGCCAGGAGTAACCCCTGAGCATTGCTGGGTATGGGCAAAAAAGAAAGAAAGAAAGAAAGAAAGAAAGAAAGAAAACAACATGAAAAAAAAAAAACCACACCCAAATTGCAAAGTTCCATACAACTACAGGGCCGCTGCTGTGACTCCAAGGTCCCTGTGCTTTTCTCCATTGTCCACTGTGTGTGAAATGCGCCCCGGGGGCTAGAATGCCCTTTTCCTGGTGGTATGTGGTTCTGTTGGAATCTTCCTTCCCTCTATCCAGCCCCTCTGAGCTGAATCAAAGCAATACCTCCCGGCAAGGGGCAAGGGGTAGAGTCCTCTCCTCCCCAAATCTCTACAGCTGTTGTTTAAAATACACTATTGGAGGGGAGGGAGCCACCGTACAGTGGGGAGGGCCCTTCCAGGACCAGGTTCGATACCCAGCATCCCATACGGTCAAAACAAACCACAGACACTGTTGGGCGCCCCTCACACGCGTGCCCCTTTTACACAGCTTGACCACGGCATCTGAGCATTGTGTCCAGGGCGTCCTTCACGGCCCTTGCTGTGTGCTGCCTGCGTGCCCAGACGCAGGCGAGGCGGCTCTCCTGGGGAGCAGGCCAGGGCTCTCCTGTTAGTGCTCGTGTTATGTCAGGCTTTGTCCCATCTTAGTGGTTTTTTTTTTTTCCTTCTGTTACCTTTCGTCAGCTGAACACCAAATTGATGAGGGGCTATAATTAACCTTAAACTAACAGAACCCGTAAGCACCGTGAAAGCAGAAAAGCAGAGACTGTCTCCTTCGGCCCAAGCCCAGCTGAAAAGACTCGGCCCTCGGTCAACGGCTGACATTTTTTTGAATGGATTTATTTCCATTGCAACTGGCTCATTTCATTGCAACCCAGCCCGGCTTTTTGCACTTTGTTGTTTATACATGAATGCACTCTTCTGTATGTTGTTTGTCAGTGTCCCACTTTTCAGATGGTGATGGGGTATTTTACTCCTTTTGATCTTAGAGACCTATCTTGGATTCATCTGTTCTGCCCTTGTCTTTTTGTTGTTGCTTTTTTGCTTTGCATGTTATGCTGAGGCATGCTCAGGGCTCCCTCCTGGTGGGGCTCGGGGGACCATGTGTGGTGCCAGGGATTGAATCCAGGTTGGCTGCGTGTGAGGCAAGTGCCCTGCTCTCTGTAATGACCCCTCTGGCCCCAGCTCACTCCCGGGCTGGAATTAGAGACAGTCCCTCCGGTGCTTTCTTGTTCTGGGGAACGGGCTTCTTGGCCACACCCTGCAGTGCTCAGGGCTTCCTCCTGGTGGGCTCAGGGAACCACATCGGGTGCTGGGGATCCAGCCTGGGTCAGCCACTATAGCACTGTCCTCCCATTGTTCATCCATTTGCTCAAGCGGGCACCAGTAACATCTCACAACAAATTGTGAGACTTGTTGTTACTGTTTTTGGCATGTTGAATACGTCACAGGGAGCTTGCCAGGCTTTGCCGTGCAGGCAAGATACTCTCAGTAGCTTGCCGGGCTCTCTGAGAGGGGTGGAGGAATTGAACCCAGGTCGGCCATGTCGGCCGCATGCAAGGCATCAGCCACAGGCAAGGCAAATGAACTATCGCTCCAGCTCTTTCTTTATTCCTGACCCTTACTCCAGTGGAGCTCCTGCGCCCCCCCCTTGACTTTTTTTTTTTAATGTAGGAGTACTGCTATTTATTCAGCCATTGATTAAGCTGATTGAATTGGGCATGAACTCCACATTACCTTTTTTTTTTTCTTTTTGGGTCACACCCAGCGATGCTCAGGGGTTATTCCTGGCTCTGCTTTCAGGAATCACTCCTGGTGGTGCTTGGGGGACCATATGGGATGCCAGGGATCGAACCCAGGTCGACTGCATGCAAGGCAAACACCCGACCCTCTGTGTTATCACTCCAGCCCCTCCACACTACTTTTTAAAAAATTTTTTAATTGAATATCTGTGAGATAGATCATTACAAAGGTGTTCATAATTTGGCTTCAGTCATATAGCAATCCAGCACCCATCCCTCCCCAGTGTCCATTTCCCACCACCACCACCAATGTCCCGTTTCCCTCTCACCATCCCTCAACACTCCACACCACCCCCATCCCCAGCCTCCCTCTAGGGGAGGCTCTTTCCTTCTTGCGCTCTCCTTTTCCTTTTGTGTATTCGGGTGTGCGGGACAGGAGCTAGGAGTTCATGGTGTTTGTTCAGGGCATTCGGTCTGCCCCCCTCACCCTGAACTTGCAAAGATGCCTCTTCCCACAGGTGATCGGCAAGGGCAGTGAAAAGGCGGATGACAACTCCTATGATGAGAAATACCTGATTGCTACCTCTGAGCAGCCCATCGCGGCCCTGCACCGGGACGAGTGGCTCCGGCCCGAGGACCTGCCCATCAAGTACGCGGGCCTGTCCACCTGCTTCCGCCAGGAGGTGGGCTCGCACGGGCGCGACACGCGTGGCATCTTCCGAGTTCATCAGTTTGAGAAGGTGCGTAGCTGGGGTGAGCAGTCAGGGTGCTTCTTGTCTGTCTGTCTATCTGTCTGTCTGATCTGACCCAGGCAGGGAGAGGAGGGCAGGGGGTGGGTGAAGTCCCCTTCCTCCCGCGGCTTCCCTTTGGAGGGTGGGCAGGGCTGGCTGGGCTGGCTCTGAGCCTGCTCTGGGGCCCGGCTGCCCGTTTGCCAATGCCGCCTCCCCCCTAAGCCCCCATTCCCGCTGTGTGGCCCGGACACGCTGCCCGACTCTCCTGATCGTGGGTGCAGGCGCTCTCTCTGCCACATGCCGTGTGGGGGCCTGTGCTCGTCCCCGACCCATCAGAACTCCCTCCCCCCCCACCCGGGACTGGGTCCAGCCCAGCCTGCATCCCGGCACCCTCGCCCTGGGTTCGGATGGGAAGGCCGCTGCCCCCATGCGTCCTGCCTCGTCCCCACTCTGCCCACCGTGCTCCTCTCTGCAGATCGAGCAGTTTGTCTACTCGTCGCCACACGACAACAAGTCCTGGGAGATGTTTGAAGAGATGATCGCCACGGCCGAGGAGTTCTACCAGTCTCTGGGCATCCCCTACCACATAGTGAATATCGTCTCAGGTAGCGGCCCCCACCAACCCCACCACCCCCACTTCCCACCCCCGCTGCCTCACCACAGAGGCTGAGGGTGTATCTAGTCGCCCACCGTGATTGAAAGATCACTCTGCTCCCCTGGCGGTGCTGAGACTCTGGGCGCAGTTTCACTGCCAGGGTTGGGGGGGGTGGGGAGGGGTGGGATGTGAATCTGAGAATTTTCCAGGGCTCAGGCAATACGGGTCAAAGGGCTTCTGTGCGTGTTTTGTGCATAAAAGGCTCCAGTCTGCTCCTGAGCACCGCAGTTCCCCAGGCCCATCACCAGGAGTGACCCCTGTTTAAGCCCCTTGAGGCTAGAAATAGCCCCTAAGCCCACCTGATGTGACTCCCAAAATTACATATATCTGTATGTGCTGCGCGCGCGCGCGCACACACACACACACACACACACACACAAAATAAGGATTCTCCAACCCAAAGAGAATGCAACAGACTGGGCACATGCTTTGCATGCAGGAGGCCCAGTGTTGCTCCCCAGACCTGAATACAGTGAGAGTGACCCCAGCCCACTGCCAGGAGTGGCCCCTGAGCACCACTGTGTGCACTTCCCAGAACATTTTTTAAGGACTGAGGCGTCAGCCCAAGTTGACAGAGTATCGCCGGGAGGGACCCCCAGAAAGGGTCCCCGGGTGTGCTGAAGGTCAGCCTCGAGCCTTCTGACGTGCCTCCTTTGTGGGTACTGGGTCTGTCCCCACAGGGTCTCTGAATCACGCCGCCAGTAAGAAGCTTGACCTGGAGGCCTGGTTTCCAGGCTCCGGAGCCTTCCGCGAGTTAGTCTCCTGCTCCAACTGCACCGACTACCAGGCTCGCCGGCTCCGAATCCGATATGGTCAAACCAAGAAGATGATGGACAAGGTAGGACTTGGGGGTCTGCGGGTGATGTGCCTGGGTTGTCGTATTTTCCAGCCTCTTGGGACAAATACCAGCGGCTCAGTCTAGAGCAGAAAAGGAATCTGAGGGGCTGGAGCGATAGCACAGTGGGTAGGGCGTTTGTCTTGCACACGGAGGACCTGGGTTCGATCCCCGGCATCCCATATGGTCCGCCAAGCACCGCCAGAAGTAATTCCTGAGTGCAGAGCCAGTAGTGACCCCTGAGCATCGCTGGGTGTGACCCAAAAAGCAAAAAAAAGAAGAAAAGAAAAGGAAACTGAAAATGCTTCCCAGGGCCGGAGCTGTGGTCCAGCAGGGAGGGCGCTTGCCTTGCACATGGCTGACCGGGCTCGATCCCCAGCATCCCATATGATTCCCCCGCACTGCCAGGAGTGACCCTGAGCACAGAGCCAGGATCTGGCCCAAACACACACACACAAAGACAAAAAGGCTTTCTGCATGTGGGTTGATTTTTCTGCATGAGGAGAGGATCCCAAGCGCGGGAAACCCAAGCCTCCAGCCGACAGAGTCAGTCTAGCATTTCTTTCGGGTCCGTATTTCCCATCATGCCAGGTGAGATAATCCCCTCTTGTCTACACGGAACAGGCAAGAAACAGTGTCTGCTCTGCACCCCCGCCCAGTTTTAGGTCCTGATCTTGTCTGAGTCAGGCTTGGAAGGGGTTGAAGGAGAAGGCACCTTGGGGCTGGGGGCTGGCACAGACGACGCAGCGCTGCTTTGCATGCCAGAGACCCTGGTTCCACCCGGGTACCACAGGGACCCCCATAGCACTGCTCGAGCGACTCCTGAGCACAGAGCCAGGAGTGTCCCCTAAGCACCGCCAAGTGTGACCATGAAAAAATAGCTACAAAGAGGCCAGACTGGAGCGATAGTAGTGGGTAGGGCACTTGTCTTGCACGCAGCTGCCCCAGGTTCGATCCCCAGCATCCTACATGGTCCTGTGAGCACAGCTGGGTGTGGCCCAACCCCCACCCAAAAAAGAGGGGCCACCTTAGAACTTGCTTCCTCCACTCAGAGGGCCGCCACTTGTCATTCTGGACACACGAGTGAATTTCCACAGTGATCTAACAGGCCCTCTGTACCTGGAAGTTCAGGTATAGCAATGATCAGCATTAGCTGGGGGGCAGGGCAGCCCCTAGCCGAGCTCACCCTGCCCCTTGGACCCTCCCTGCAGGTGGAGTTTGTGCACATGCTCAATGCGACCATGTGTGCCACGACACGCACCATCTGCGCCATCCTGGAGAACTACCAGACAGACAAGGGCATCGTGGTACCCGAGAAGTTGAAGGAGTTCATGCCACCAGGTCAGCCTTCCCGCCCAGCTACCTCCCTCTGCTGTATGGACAGCCGGTCCCTCCCTCCCCTCTCCTGCAGCGATGAGAAAACAACACACACACACAGTATTGACGACACAAATGTGGCTGTGATAACTGCACGCACATGCTTCCCATTTATTTTCTTCATTGTTGCAAGGATACACGTGCACATACACACAAGCACACATACACGCATACACACATATGCACGCACACACTGCATGCACAAATACACATGCACACACGCGCACACACATCTGCTGCTGGGCAGATCCCAGGCAACAGAGCCACCAGGATCTTGCCCGGAGCCCACGGGCAGCCCTGGGGAGCAAACTCGTGACCTCCTGGCGAGGCCGGCACTGTTCTGCTCCTGAGCGAGCCCCAGGCCGACTTTTCTTAATTCAGACACAGCTTCCCAGACTGCCCCGGCTCCGTGCCCAGCATGGTTGGGAGCGCATCACCAAGGTGGCGTGTGGAAGCCAAGGGGGGGAGAGCCAGGAAAGCAGAGCCTGGTGGCAGCCCCTTGGTTGGGGGGAGTGTGGACCTGTCGAGCAGTCATTTTGCCCCTCCCCTGCGGCTCTGGCGCTTGTGGCCCTGAGAAGCCCTGGGTGACCGGAGGGCCCCTTCCCTTGCAGGCCTCCAGGAACTGATCCCGTTTGTGAAACCTGCGCCCATCGACCAGGAGCCGTCAAAGAAGCAGAAGAAGCAGCACGAGGGCAACAAGAAGAAAGGGGCAGCCAGAGACGTGGCCCTGGAGAGCCGGCTGCAGGCCATGGAGGTGGCGGATTCCTGAGCCTCCGGGCGCCCCCTCGCCGCCCGCCCCATCTGACTTTTAGCATGGCTAAAAGGGGAACCGCCTGCTGAGGCCGCGCAGGGGTCCCATCTCTCCGGCGGGGGCCCCGGGACCCCGTTTCCGCCAGCTCATGCAAGCGTATAATAAAGCTCCGGGGAAGGCCGGGGCTGCTCCTGCGCCTCCTCCCGGTCCGGCCACTCCCCTACACCGGGCTCCGCTGCTGTGTGTGCAGTCAGGGTGGGCTGGGGGGCCGTGGGAGGGGGACATGGGGGCCACGTGTGAGCTGGAGACTCCAGTCTGCGGGACAAGGGCTCCTGCTTCAGAAAGCCCCGCACGAGCCTCCGGCTCCTGGGCAGGAGACCACCGTGAGGCGGAATTTAACCCAAAGGAGCTTCGACCCGCGGCAGCGACTTCTGTCTGCCCTGGCCGGGCGGCTTGTGGGCTGGTGTTTTCGCCCTCCTCCGGCGTGCGCCTGCTGAACCTGAGAGCCAGTTCACGCGTTCCCGGGGAAGGGGCTGTTTGAGGCTCCTGCCGTACCTGCCGCTTTCATCAGCTATCTGCAAACACGGCGCCGTAATGACACCCTTCCTGCTGCTCCCCAAGGAGTCAAGGAGCTCTTTTATCTCCGTGCCAGTCCTGGGAGAAAGGGCGGGGCGTGATTACACTCCTGCCAGCCCCCTGAGACCATGCTGGGTGCCACGAGCCAGCGTGGCCAGGCCAGGACATCGTGACTTCGGAGATGCCGAGGTGACGTCTCCTGGGGAGGATGTGCGCAGACCCTCCACTTGGTGGTCACTAGGGAGCCCCTGTTTCCTATTTCATCTCAGTGCCAGGGGCGGGGGTCCCAGGATGGACCCATTTACCTAGCCTCCCACAAGGCCTTAGGTGGCCCACTGTGGCATGCTTAAACCCAGTCAGAACGGGGGCGCCCCTATGAGTGACTCCATTTCCTTTTTTGGAGTGGTCGAGGGTTGGGGCCACACCTGGCAGTGCTCAAGGGTTACTCCTGTCTCTGTGTTCAGGGACCACTCCTGAAGGGACTGTGGCACCGGGGATTGAAGCCAGGTTGGCCACATGCAAGGGAAGTCCCTGTCCACTACTCTCCACCCCTCCAGGCCTCTTCACCAGCCAGCCTTACCCGCTGTTGGTTATCTTTGGGGACGCAAAGCTCAGGGTGAAAAGAGAAGCACAAGCTGCTCCAGATTCTTCTGGAGAATTCGAAATGCCCATTTCCTGTAGCCGCCCCCCCTTCGGACTAGAGGAAGGCTGTTGGCACAGTGAGCGGGAGGCTGGCTATGCCCACCACCCCAGGACTCCCCCATTTAACCTTAGAGATCGCCACAGTGCCCTCCTCCTCCTCCTCTCGCCCTCATTCGCGCCTGGTGCCTGCCTCAGCCTTCCTTCCACTAGGAGGTGCTGCTTCTCCCCAGGGCCCTGGGAAGCCCCGGTGGGGCAGTGCCAGGCTCTGTGCCCCAGGGGCCCGGCTCTTGGCTGCGCTGCGCTGGTGACTAACCTTCCCACCTGACTAGTTTCTGAACCAGGCTGCACCTGGAACCTGGGCTCCCTGCTGCTGCTGTGCAAAGTGCTCCTGCCCCACTCAGCACCACCTCCCACCCCCCGAGGCTGGGTGGGTGTACAGACAGGCCCAGGGCCTGCGTGGTGCAAGCCTGGGACACAGCTGCTGTGGGCACCAGTGCGCCTCTGCAGAGTCTGCCGGGCCTGGAGAGGGCTCAGCGGAAGCGCTTGCTTGCTCACAGGGCCTGTGTTGGATGCCCTGAGCACTGCCAGGTGGGGCCCGAAAGTGAAGACAAGGTTGAGCCCCTTTCTTCCCGAGGGGGGTTGGGGGCTGGAGTGATAGCACAGCAGGTAGGGCATTTGTCTTGCACACAGCCGACCCGGGTTCGATTCTCAGCATCCCATATGGCCCCCTAAGCACCTCCAGGAGTAATTCCTGAGTGTAGAGCCAGGAGTAACCCCTGTGCATCGCCGGGTGTGACCAAAAAAAAAAAAAATCAGAAGGGAATGGGCAGTCAGGTCCTTGTGACAGACGATGTGGCCATGGCCAAACACTGGGGGCTTGGGGGCAGAACGGGGCTCTCTGGTCTCCCACCATCTGGGGAAAGGCTGGCTGCCTAGCTTCAGGATGTACCCGCCTGGAAACCAGCCCAGGTAACCTTGCCTCTGCCCTGCACTTGTCTCCACAGCCCACAGCCGATGCCCTCATCCCTGGCACCTGAGCTGCCCCGTCGTCAACCTTGGCTCCCCAGGTTACCTCAGCAAACAGCCCCCACGGGCGCGCTGGGGTGAGTCAGAGCCCTGGGTCCTTGGGCAGCCCTCGGTTCCCACACCCAGGAATTCTGGGCCCAAGAAGCAGGTCTGGGTGCTGCAGGCAAGAGAGTGGGGCTCCAGGCCTGTGGGGAGGGGAGGGCCCCGGAACCCCACTGCCAGGGAGCCCCCACCTGGCTCAGCCTCTCTCCAGGGATCCGGCCTCCTTTTCCTGCTGTTGGAACTACGGGGTCCAAAGAAGCTTTCCACTGGGTGCTCCTGGCTCGGGGGACGTCCTGGCTGCTCCCTAGACTGAGTCCCACGGGCAGAGCTGGGCCCCCCGGGGCAAATGCGCAAATGCTTGGCAAGTCTCAGCCTGTGCCAGGACGGGCGGGCGGCTTCTCCCCAGTCCCCTCCCAGTGCGGGGTTCCCTGGAAGCGCCTCCCACAGATGCGCACGCGGGGAGGGGCGCGCAGGTCCGCGCCTGGCCGGGAGCACCGCGGACGCATCGCCCCTTTAAGGGGCCCCCCAGGAGGCGGCGGGGGGCTGCGGGCAGCCAAGTGCGGATTCCCGGGACCTGCTGGCCAGGGAGGCCCGAGCCCGCGCTGCGGCGCTCGGCGCTCCACCGGCAGGTCCGGACCCGGGCAGCGGCCTGATTCCGAGAAGCCCCTTTTTCTGGGTCCCGCGCGGGGTGCGGGTCCCTTCTCCAGCTTGGAGCTGGTCTCCTGGGGACTTGCCCCCTGCAGTCGGAACTGGCGGGGAAATGAGTTCCACGGAGGTGTAAATTACCGCCGGGCAGCCCGGCCTTCCCCGGGGACTTGCTTTTTAAAGCCAGAGAGAGAGGGGACTGAGCAGCCTGCACCCCGCGCTCCTTCCATCTCGTCTCCCAAAGCAGCCTTGTCTCCGGGCCACCCACGCACACATCGCCCCATCCCTTCCGGAGTCTCCCCTCGCCCTCCCTTTCAGGTCGGTGCCCACCTGCCTCCCTTCCCTGGCATGAGGCGGCCTCCTGGTCTCCCGCCCAGTCACCACGCCAGAGGGCCCTCTCCCCCTCCAGGACTAATGCACAGTGGACACTTGCAGGTTCTGCTACCCACCTGGGGGCCCTCCCCTCCCTCACCCCCTCAGCGGGAAGGTGGAATGTTCCAGACTAAGGGAACAGCACAAGGAGGAAGGGAACAGGCCTGGGCAGTAGAGGGTAGACTGAGGAGATGACGAAGTGGCAGGGTCAGAGTCCCTTAAGTCGGCCTCTGCATGGACATCATGGTCACAGGGTCTCAATGAAAGGATCTCAAACTTGAATTCTAGTCTGTCTCCATAGCTGCTCCCTGCCTTCCCTCCTGGGAACTCAGGGCCCCTGTAAACCCCAAACACACCCTGCACCCCTCACGACCGCCTGCCTCATGCTGTCACTCAGACATCATCCATGGCAGCCCATTCCCAAACCCTCTCCCTCCCAAGGACCCCAGGACCTCCTGCCCAAATGCTTCAGGCCAGAGGATAGCACAGCTGGTAAGGTGCCTGCCTTGGTCACTCTACTTCATACCCGGACACCTCAGATAAGCCCCACCAGGAGTGATCCCTGAGCACGGTGTCAGGAGTAGTCCCGGGTGTGGCCCCCCCAAACCAAACATTTCTGGAGGCTTCCCCAGTCTCTCCTTCAAAGCCAGAATCCAGTCATCAAGCTCCGGCTCTGGGGCTGGAGATGGTCCAGCTTGTACAGCCCTTGCCTTGCACGTGGCCAACCCAGAATTGCTCCCAGAACCCCACCAGGAGTGATCCCCAAGTGCAGTCAGGAGCAAATCCTGAGCACAAGCAGCTATGGCCCCAAAACAACAAATTGGGACCAGGGTGATAGCACAGCGAGAAGGGCTTTTGCCTTGCATGCAGCCGACCCAGGTTCGATCCCTGGTATCTCATATGGTCCCCTGAGCACCACCTGGAGAGAATCCTGATGCAGAGCCAGGAGTAACCCCTGAGTATCTCTGGGTGTGCCCCCCCTCAAAAAAAAATAACAAAAAATTTTGGCTGCTGTTCAGCTTCACCAGATCTTTCGCACTTTGCAACCTCCCAAGCGGTCTGAGTTACGGTGCTGTCCGGTGCTGTCCCCTTCTCCCCCCACTGCCCACCCACCTCCCCCTGCACTCTCTCCTTCCTCCTGTGGTTCCCGGGAGTTGCCAGTGTGTTTGGAACCCCCCTTTCCTTTCAGGGTAGTTTTCAGAGCCTCCCCATGCCTTCCCAACACACACATAGAAACACCAGTGAGTGCAACCCATCCCACCGTTTGTCTCTAAGGCCAGAGGATAGGATGGGGTAAGGCCCTGGCCTTGCATGTGGCCTGCCCTGGGCCAATACCCAGCATCCCATATGGTCTTCTGAGTCCCCCCAGGAGTGATCCCTGAGTGCAGAGCTGGGAGTTAGCTCTGAGCACTCACAGGTGTGGCCCCCCAAAAGAAGAAATGTCTCTGTCCACACCAGACTGGCCACTCCTTGAAGCCTTGGCTGGAGAGGAGTTCCTGTGTGAGCCACACTGAGCCCATGCTGGGAGCATGGCCAGGGCGAACAACGGAGTCAGCGCAGCTGTAGCTTTGGGATTTGTTGCTTACAGCTCAGCCCCAGGCTCCATCTCTTCCCCTCTGTGCTCAGGGGCCACAAAGAATCTCAGCTGGATCTCAGCGGGACAGTACATCCACATGCATGTGCTGGGTCTGTCAAGTCCTCCTCAGCAGACAGGACTGACACTGGAGGCTGAGCCTGTCGGTGGGGCAAGGAAGCCAGTACCATCTCTCCGCAAGACCCAAAGATAGTGTTGAATGTAGCTGCTAGGACCTCAACCATACAATTCCTGTTCAGAATACA